CCGGTGCACGAACCATTGGAGAGTTTCGTCTACCAGTTCTCAACAATAAAAAATCTCGAGCAATGAGCTAGATTATAAACCGTAGTTAAAGCACCCATTTCGCTTCTAAATCGTTGTGTCGAAATATATGAAATCCAAACAACATGTTTACGTAATCTTTCTCCGGTGCCATCATGACGACACAGACACTGGTGCGACACTAAAATCTATCATTGGTAGCCCAAACAGGAAGAAACCGCTACTGTCATGGAGTATCACTCGGCTGACTCATATGGTCGAGGGAGATTTCATGATTGGAAATAAAAAGGGCTTTCATCATTCTTGTGGCGATTTTTGGGCTTTTGGGAGCGCGTGAAGTTCCTACAGGATGTTTATGGTATCAAGATATCACTGAGGTCATTGACTGCTGGTTTTTGTTCGCTTGTTGTCGTCGGCGGCGGGTGGTATGTTGTGGCGGGTTTTGTGATGTTCGGTAGCCGGGACGTTTCTGCACTTGAGGATGATCTTTGGAAGGGTGCTTAACGCCACAATGCAGCTGTTTGATCACATAGGAACTGAATTCAGTAAGAATGTCAAGGTGACCTCTTGGCTGCAGAATATAAGACGCCTTCCTATCTAATGGGACCAATATTACTTGTGTAGCTCATGATTGGCTTCAGGAATAAGGTACGAGGTTCGCATATGGTGATCTAGTTGACGGCCATTCAAGTCACAAGTCTTGACTCTAGATCTATAAATCCTGCGACTAGGCTTGAGACCATGGTACCGTAAAGTCAATACTAGTCGGTATTGCGCCACTGTGAAGGTCCTATGCGAAGTTAGTACGGAATAGGTAACTATATAATAATATTATACTGCAGGATGTTCGGTACACGTACTTACCAGGTCATGTCTTGTTGTAATTTTATGACACAAACATATTCTGCGCGTGGGGGATGACTCGATTGGAAATGATAATTGAGACTTTGCGCTGAGGGATCCGGAGTCTTTTTTGACAGACTTGGCATTAATTAGCCAAGGAGTTATAGATCCAGCCTTGCATTTGACTCACAGAGAGAGGGCTAATCGCGAAATTAGACCTCCACTCCTTCTATCCTTTGTAGAATGACTAAATGGTGGCCTTTTTTTATGAGGATTCTTTTATGATAAAATTCAGATGCAACTACACCTTCTATTAAATCCTCAACAATTTAGCTAAGGTATTAGTTGTAGAAAAGAATTATTTACTTTGAGGTTGAATTTTCTCTCTCACCAAAAACTGGGTAACGCCGATCAGTGGCAAGCAACATCTGGCTCCATTTTTGACCACCCCAGATCAACGAAAATCCATATAATGCCAAGCTATAGGGAAGCTGGATGCATCTAGCGCAAAGTCTCTAATTCGACTGTAAAGGAGAGGTCATAACCAACTGCACCATGTGTGCAGCATTTCTCTGAAATAACCAGGTTAGGAAGTTCACTTGAAACAGTAGCAGAGGAAATCTCTGCACTTTTTCTGAGACCTTTCAATTGATTATCTAGCTCGATGAACACATATGAGGCCGACCCTGCGTACTTACACCCATTCCGCGAATCATAGACAGGTGTCAGGACCTCGCGATCGGCCCCACCTCCTTTTGGAGTACGTTCCTCCGTTCTATTCTGATTGATAGCCCGGTAATTAGCTTAACACAGACTATCAAACAAAAACCGCGTAGCTAATCAATGATAGCTCCAACCCCCAACGTGGATCTGACATGAAACCTGGAACCATTCAAATTGCCTGAGGATTTATTATTTGGTTGTCTTTTGTCAGTCCGTTACTTACCCCGCCACAACATTGACAGAAGACTCTTTTTACACACGCAAACCACAACGCTGACATCCCATTAATGCATCATTGTTCATGCTAGCTAGGATTTTTTGGTGCGGGCCGTAGCGTTAACAAGGCTTTTATCGAGCCCCGCAAATGCAAAACCTCATCTCATGCCGGTCATCCATTTTACCTACTCTTTAACACAAATATATTGGTAACTCTCCGGCACGCGGCCTATTTCCCCTTTAAACAACACTCGCCACGTGCACAGAGCTTTGAAGGTGAAATGTTGCTTACATTATGGCCGGGGATGTTTCAGAACCTCCGCCTAGAGACCAAGAATCAACGCTTGTTTTAATCAAGCATATATTCCATTAGAGAGGAGCCGGAGATTGACCGCGAACCAAACACGAGGACTTTAACCCGGTATCTTTGAACGAATGGGGAACCTGTAGATAATTGCAGGCCGTAACCAGAACGTCAGCTCAACCACAGTACTGACATCCTGACGTCTTCATGAAAAACCTCCTTGTCAACTTCCCCAAGTGTGAATACCTTATTTCCCTCCAACACCCCAAAATAGCTGGGCACTCACCCAATTCTATGTTGCTAAGGTTAAGTTAACTTCTGTATATAAATTTATAAAAAGAACACGAAAGGTACTGTAGAACCCCCACGAACCCCACCGCCTGGTCTCCATTCCACTAATTCCACGCTGAAGACCTTCTAATCTCTATATATGGCCAAGGAATTAAACACGCGCGCGGTGTTTAGGCTGACTAGCCGACCAACTTGTCCACGATTTGCCTCCCTGGCCATGGAAATGATAATTTGGCGCCAAGACATAACGGGAACGCCACCAGTAGCCTATCAAACCTTCAACCTCAATCTACAACGCAGTTCTTAGCTTGCTCGAGCCTGGATTAGTTACGGATACGAACAAAATTAGGTTCAAAGCCAGTTTTTGGCTTATTTATGACGTATAAGTCTTTCCCACATCTTCGGCCGACCTCTGGATCAGGCTTATGGGAGTCGATGACCATGGTTTGACGGCACATAATGCATTGTGATGCATGCAGTGCTACAATATAAAAATAAATTTCAATATACGACAGAATTTAATGAGTCTTCTCCTTGTCGATAGAATAAGTTTAGCGTAACAAAGGTCCGAAGACCTTGTGCAGTTGCCCTTATCAATAGGTTCTGTGGGTCCATCTCTATCGGTATTACTTTAGAGTATCTCTCCTTAGTACACAACTAAAAGAGATTTAATCCCACTCATTTCCAGATACATCAGCGGAAGCTTGCATAGCCGGCCAGCGGTTTGAAGCATTCCGGGAGTTTAGAGTATCCAGATGGCCATGGTTTAATACACCGGCAGCAAGACCAACCCAGGCCGGAGGTGCCGCTGCTCGGACTAGCTCCCCAGCTCAAGAAATATTCCGCCCGGTGCAACAAAGACCGGATATTAAAATGGCTTGCCCGGCCTGGGCCTGGGGCGCGGGCCGGCACAAGTAAAGTCCGGGCGAACTCAGATGTGTTCCGGCTTTCCCGCACTAGACCCGGCGATATTAATGACGGAAAGCCGCCTCTAGCTACTTAGACCTACCAACTAGGAGCCCTTGTCAGGCATCTACTCTCGCCGCAAGAGATCATTGCATCCAGATCCTGTACATGCAGTAAGAGGAACAATAAGCACCTACAGACAAAGAGGGCCTCGATGGCAGCTAGATTCTTCTGACAAATCTGCGCTATCAAAACAGCCAGCTTGCTTATCAAAAAAGGAACACCGAACATTTCCGGAGATTTGCCCCACTCAATAGCACAGCTCTTTTGGGTTGTTATCAAACTAGGGTGACAGATCATTCCGAATCCCGACAAGCCGGCCGGTCCGGGGAAGGACATGGGAATGCCTACACTGACTACGTGTAGACACGTACACGTATGTACTGCGTGAGTTAGGAGGCATTACCATGGAGGTCGGATTGATCGAGGGAATGGAAGAAGTTATGCTGGTGAGCATATATGCATTAATCGCGGGGATAGTCAAGCAGAATAGTTCAGGCTCATGTGACCACGGATAGGTAGTCGAAGGGGGACGCTTTCGCCAAACCTTCCGTGTTTCGACGTCCGGCCAGCTCTCTTAAAACCCGGGGAAGTGTAGTGTCGAGCAGCAACACAAAATCCCAAGACTTCAAAGCTTGGAGACGACACCTACAAAGCATGCAGATATCTAGGCTCTGCTGTATTTAACTATTCTCGATATTACTCTTGGCTGTTAATATGGATCGTTTAGGAAACTACATATGAACTCCGGCCCTAATAGGAAGCAAGGATCAGGCTGCGACCCCCGTCACTCGAACTGCTTGAGGTCTCATTAACCGCTGCCAAGAACACGTTCTCATTCTCCCCAGAGAAACAAACCAACCACCATGCAGCGGGGCATATAACGGCGATCTTCAAGCTAAACGGTCAAGCAGGAAACGGGGATCTCCCCGGATATTCTCTAGAGCTGCACTTTGGGTATTGATGCGCAAACTTATATCACAATCAGTTCCTAATAGCAAGGTATAACTACGTCCCCTATATGCCCTTTCGGTCATATTACCGCTCCTGGCACATCAAATATTCGTCACACCTAAGAGGTTGCTTTCGCTTAAGCTGAACCCTATGAACTGTCGTAGATTAGTACTTTTTCTGCAATATATCTCCCCACCGCACCCTCCGAGAATACTTTACCCCAGCTGCGGTCGATCATTAGTTTCATGTGTTTGAGAAGAAACTACATCTCATTTGGGAACCCCGAATGGACCAAAGGAAGTCTACTATATTTTTGGCTTTATTGAGAAGGCGGTTCTTGCAACAGAACCGATTGCAGATGCTAATTGTCTACTGGTAGCTTTGCCGATTCGATTGTCCTTAATGAATAGATTGCTAACCCTCCCTTAAAAAAAAGTGATTCCAGTATCACTGAAGGGGTAAGGCAGACTCCTAACTCCACGAGGGGGAGATTCTTCACGATAAGCCCGTGCGAGGCACGGGCTTATAAAATGTCGATCAAAAGGTGGAGAAACCCAGATATAAAAAGGGGCATTTATGACACTGTTCAATAACCTCCATCATCACCAGCACCGACAAAAGATCCTCTACTGCTGCTAGTTAGTCTTAACTACTAGTCTTGCTCTCAGTGACACAACTTGCCAAAATGCTCTTCGGAACAGCCACGGTTTTTGTTTCTCTCCTCCTGCCATCTCTTGGCTTTGCTCTTCCGCGGCCCCAGATCGCCGACGATGCCTTGGCCACGTTTGCAAAAAGGGCAACACCCGTTGAATCCTTAGCGGCAGGCTTTGCTGAGATCGAAGCCAGCAAAACAGAAGTCTCTATTGCAGCAGTGGAGTCGGTCCGCAATGACCTCATAGACGGCGGCTGCGATGACATTATCGTCATCTTTGCTCGCGGGACATCAGGCGAGGGAAACGTTGGAGCCGCAACTTCAGTCGGCCCAATATTTTTTGGGAACTTGTCGGCCGTTGAGCCGGGGAAAGTCATTGTGCAGGGGGTCAATGACTACCCGGCGGACGTCTGGGGATATCTGGGAGGGGGATCTGACGACGGTGCTCAATATATGGCGGAAATGGTCAGACTGGCTTCCGCACAATGCCCTAATTCTAAAGTTGTTCTTTCTGGGTTTAGGTATATTTTCCCCCTTCTCTTCATCTCGCTATTTCAAGCTGGTGCGCCATAACAGGATTATCTTTATCTGACAATATTTGAAAAATAGCCAAGGTGCACAAGTTACGCACAAGGCGGGAGCACTTATTCCATCATCACTCTACTCAAAAGTTGCAGCAATCGTGCTTTTTGGCGACCCAAACAACGGCGACGCGTTCCCTGGTGCTCTGAACAATAATGTCAAGACTTTCTGCCACGATGGTGATTACATCTGCGATGGACTTCCCATTATCACCGATCAACATGGTAACTATGCAAATGATGCGCCGGCGGCTGCGGCATATGTTGCTGCCAGAGTTTAAAGGGATTTCTGGAAAGATTTTGAGGCGAATGCGTCATTTGGTTATGTAGATAGATATACATCTACGTAGAGTTAACTAGGGGTAAGCAGGGAAAAATGTCTATTTCATCGTCAATATTAGGAAGCTACTTTAATATTCAGTAGAGTACGAGTTTACTGGATCAAAACTATATGTACTTACTCAACTATGCACTTCCTTCGTAATGGGGCCATTTTGCTCTCAGTCACTTCCAAAATCCCTTGAATGTAGCCAGAAGTTTGCAACATAAAGTGACCCCGATATATTGAAAGTCGATATCGACATGTTTCTGATATCTCAAAAATAAATTGATGATAATAATAGACGCTTAAACACCCCTCATGGCGGGGTTCCGATTCGCTGAAATCATTAGAGAGACTCGATTCAACCAATATATATCGAACCACTATATCCACTTCTTTGTTCGCGCTAGCTTTCTCGGTGCCTACGTACGTGTAGAGTGAAGTATACAAGTAAAGTATTTCAAAGTAGAAGAGTGATATAAGATAGACGCTAAAATATTTGGTCTAGGCGGGGAAACCACAAATCCCGTTCCTGCATAACAGGCTGATCGGGCCGGAGCTTGGAGCAATAGAGATCGCCGAAATACCCCACGTGAACAATACATCCTAGCCTGAATTGGGATGGCGCAGCCCGCCCAGCCGGGGGTGTTGCTTGACAGTGCGGAGACAGGTATCAGGAACTGAGGTGAACAGGTTTCATCGAGTGGGGTATGCCGAGGTTCTTTTTTTAATTTTGGCTCGTGGAAGTAGTTTTTAGAGACGTAAGCACATAATGTGTTAACATGGTATAGACTTTGAACAGGCTATATGGGGGCATTGTTAGTATTGAGTGGTGATGATAGGCAGGGGCGCGCGCTGTGGGAAGAATCTATAAGGATTAAGAATATGAAAGGGAAAGTTTGGGATAAAGTAGAAAACGATAGGATTTAACGCGTATTGAGATCGGCGTTAAGAACCTCCGAGTGATATCATATGACGAATGCACGTGGTATCTGTTTATTAGAATTCCTGATGTAGTAACAGCTCCGGTAGGCCAAACACTTCCAGGTTAGCTGGAATTGTAGGATACAGAAAAGGAATGTGACCAAATTGGGTAGTTATTTACAGCAACAAGACATGCAACATGTCAAAAGCTTTAACGTTCTTCTGGGTTCAATACCACGATAAAGTCTCAGCCCAGGTGCAGTGCGCCGAAAAAGAAAGAAGAGATCGCTAATCAGACCTATACTCGATGCCCGGGAATATCCACCTTCCGGATAAAATCTTGGCCCAGGCTCCAAGGAGACGCTACGACATCAAATGACCTCGAAGCTTAAGCCAACACGAACACCACGGACCTTCTTTTATCTGTTGACCCATAGGGTGAGTGTGAGACGCGTGGGAGTATGAACTGGACTCAACGACTCGGCTCTTTTCAATCTTCAGCAGTCAACTGGTGAAACGCTCCAACATCTACCAGTGCATGTTGCTTTTTGTAATATTTGAAACAACAGAGGCAATGAATATCTGGTAATCCAGGCACCTGAATCAAAGTCGAACCAGCTTCTGGAATGCCCCTCGATCTGTAAAACCGGTGCCTCCATATATGTATTCACAATTCCTTTCTGAAGGCCAACTCCTCCTTTGCTGCACTTGGGGCATTACGTGAGATGGAGTGCATTGTTAGTCTGGGATGAGACATAAGGCATAAGGTGCCGGGTGAAAATTGTAGACTCGTTGAGAGGTTTCAGGGCGCGAATCGTTCACAAACATATATGTGTGTATAAGAGGTGATAGGTGTATGTAGACAGGGGCGTGACGCGTCCTAAAGACGAAAATTGCACATTCCAATAGCTAAATAGCACACTAAGTAAGAGTGCTGTGTTATGCGCCTATCCGTCACGCAAAGAGCTAGAGTCATCCTCCTTCTGACTAAGCCCTCTCACGGCAGCGAGCGCTGAGATTAGGTAACCGTAGCTACAATTCTTCTCCATAATAGGCTTAGTTTGGACATATAACACAACTGATCCACAAGTTCCACAGACGCCACTAAACAGGGAAGGCTCAAATACTGTCGTTCACGGGGTATTGGCGGATACTGGGTGTTGGCGGATTGAAGCCAAAAATTGGCTTGGCTGTTTCTTTTTAGGCTTATCCGCCAACACCCAGTACCCGCCAATACCCCGTGAACGACAGTACAGACTTCACCGTTCACCACTCAACGTTGTTTCACAGGATATCACCTTGCATTACTATTTTGTGGAAGCTATGTCTATTGATGATTCTAATCCCTATTGGCCAGCGTAGCGCCTAGAACTTTCTTTTATCACTCAGGTGATGAGGCGGACATGCAGGCCGACTTTTGGTTCGATCGTTTATGTACATGTATGTCTTAAGCATGTCCCTGTTTCTCAGAGCCGTGGTTCGCTTGTTATCTAACAGGTACTGATAAGTACAAGCCTAGGTTTGTGTAAGTTCGTGTGAGTCCCATCAGCAAGAACGATGTGACCTCCACAATATTGAGGAGATTCGTTCTGACTTCTGGTAAAACTTTTAGGTCAATGGGGACAACTATCACAAATTGTCTAAGATGTCGCGCGATCTAAAAGATTTCCTTGACATACACGGAACTTAACCGCCTTCATTCTGAAGCATAAGATAAGTCATTTATACCCCAGCTGCGGTCCTGCCTCCTGAAATGTACTTGTGCATGACCTTTATCTCTGAGCTGTTGCAAGGAAATCCCTGCATATATTGGGAACATGATATTCTCGAACCGGCACTCAGTCTCATCTATCGCTCCCAACAACTTCTCTATATAAGGGTGTTCATGAAAATCCTGACCGGCCGCTTAACAATTACCGAGACCTTTTTTTTCTTTTTTTAAGGCTGAAAATCTCAGTTCCATTCATCACAAAAAAAAAGCACTGCACGGAGTGAAGATTATACGGACGAAGCAGGTCAAACTCACCAGAATCTTAATCGAAACACACCATCCGAAATTTCCAGTGATCCTAATACATTTCCGAGTCCTGTGACCAGCCTGGACACATAGCCGAAGCGAAATTTTACGGTTATACGGTGACTGATATTACTACTCATGATCGAGTCGTCCCCAGGTTATACTTAACTAAATTAAATAAGGTCTCAGAGCTAGAGTTGGTCTGGTCCTTTATGCACTCTAATAACTGTCTCAATGTTGCCAGCGCAATCTGGCCCATAATATGGAGCTATAGCCATTCGGCTCCTGGGGACTTCGCCAACTGGGATATCTCTGGCTGGAAGACGTGTGCGAGCCTCTACCATTGCACGCTTTCGGGGAACTTTTTGCTACATACATAATTCGCCAACGCAACAGCGTACCTATTGACTGGGATAACCAAACTGGAATTTATTACTACCAAGTTGCCCAAAAATATTTATATACCTGGCTCGCGAGGCTATATCAACCACTTGGCCCTTATCTTGCTCGGCATAGGTAGTCATTTATGCTCTGTTCTCCTGCCCGAGGAGGGTATTAGCCGCCTTGGGATGGTAGTGAATGCACATATTTGTAAGGGCCTGCAAAAATCATCTTCTAACTTTAACCAAGGTATAAGTATAAAGGAGGATTATAAATTCACGAATTGTGCTTTGCCTCTCGAATGCTCATCGAGTTCACACTGGTTTTAATACCAAGAGACAGAAATATCTTGAATAATACCTGGGATCAGGCGGTTGTCGACGGAATGAACTCTGAAACGGTTTATATTCAGAAATAAGTATATTAGCTAGCGCGCCGGCTTTATTATTTCTCTTGCCTGGCTTGGCGCACAGTTTCTCACTCGATCAAACGAGACTAAGTTAACGGTAGTACTATATCCCGGTAATTGGCTGACCGGAACGAGCAATCCTGCCGCGGAACACTCAGCAGTGCGTAACTCTGAGGATACCGAACAGCGGAATTTGTAAGAACTCGGGTTTCCATCTTCCCCACATGGTGCCAAACGTTAAGCCGGCATTTAGGATCCTGGGCACCACCGATCTCCAGTTGACAAATGTCACTGTCCACCAAGTTAGTGCGTGCTATAGGCCGATTGGGTCATTTCAATACGTATGTCGTAGGCACAGTACTATGGCTCAAGGAGCAGAGGAGGCTACGGATCCTGCGATAAAGAGTAAGAAATGGCATCAAGGGACGTTTGATTCGGGGGGGGCTACCCGGACGAGGTATTCTCAGGAGGACATAGGTTAGAGAGGACATATATAGGCTAGAGAGATGGAAGCAAATTCTGTAGGAGACTCGAGTTTTCCATAGCTAGAATCTATATGGGGATGGCGTCTCCATGGCTAAGAAACCGCACTAACTCACCTAAGCACTCAGCACGCACTAGTGTTAGCCACCTTCAACTATATGATGTATCCTTGGCGCACAAATATGATTTCCGGCCAAGAACACACATGGGCGAGTGGTCTAATGGCTATCACTCGCCTTCCGGACACCGCGTGGTTGGGCCGGCCTTCGATTACAGAAGGCCCACGTTCAATCCAGGGGTGGGAGTAGTAGATTTCGCCCGGTGAAATCTGCAGTACTTTTTGTTCTTTTTTTTTTTGTGTGTGTATGAAAGAAGAGATAAATATGATGAGTGAGATTAGATTTTCAGTACAGATCGAGTGGGACCGATTCTAATATGTAGATTTTTCAAGTGCACCACCATACTGCACACGCCCCGATGCGCAGCGCAAGGCCCTGGATCAAGTCGACTGGTATAGCAATCTTCCCTTAGCTACCGCACCATAACCACCAACTCTAACCACCCAAACACACCCTCCACAGCTCCCCCACCAACGTAACCAGCCCCGCCGTAGCCCCAAATAACCCACGGCATGCCAACCAACACCCGCAAGCGTTGCAACCTCCAAACCCTTCTAGCTGACATAACATCCTAAGCACAGTCACAGACAATCACTCGGCCCCCATACTCACAACCGTTGTCGCTCAAGACAATAAGAATAAGGTCATGGTGTCGAACGATAAAGCACCTGTTATCAAGAGGAACGGTGTTCTACCCGGAAAGGCTGGAGGCCTCGTATGAGATAGCTTGTAGCTTATACATAATGGGAAACCTTTATACATCTGGTAATTAAAGGAGGAAGAATTAGAAATTAATGTCAAAAGCCCCGTAACTATTCCACGAGGAGGGAGCAATTATCAAGGCATATATTTTAGTCCGTGATGGAGCTTGTAGAAGGTGTGTATCTTCATGACTGAGGAGTATAACGTAAGGGGGGTACATTGCCTTTATGTCTTATGAAGGGGCTGAGATAAGAGGAGGTCACTCATAGGGGTAGAGGAAAGTACACTCAATTTTTTCTCTTTTTTTGGGGGGAAATATCCCTGGCTGGCTAAGGAAATAAAAGTGTATGGAGGGAAACCTATTGAATTTCCACTTCCCTCAAGAAGGGAGTCCAGCCTGGACTAGTAATCATTCTTTTCTCCAGTCTGTGGCTTGGTGAAACAAACGGACGTAAAGCTTCCTTAAAGACGGCGAGGAAGACTATTATATTATTGAGCCCATAGAGAATAAATTCTTGTAGAACTTGTAAGTTCTATATAGTATTTAGGACCTATGTGAGTCGTCAATAGGTGAAACATCCACCCAAGCTAAACCTTGAAGTTATGTTATTTCGCAGCTCTTATATCTCCTAACCGTCATAACCCCCACCAGTCCCACAACATTCTCAAAAGCCCCTAGCACCCCATTATGAAAAGTTTGGAATCTCTACCCCAATCTTCTTATAAGTCTCCGAAAACACCAGCTTCTCCCTCTCCTCTCTCGCCCGCCTTAACACCTCCGCCCCAACAGCCAAGTCCATAATCGCCAGTCCCACACACTTGAACACCACATTCCCCTTAAGCTCTTCATGTAGCGGGGTATTCCACACCTCCGTCAAATCATCCTCTTTTAGCCCCGCCCTAATAACCTCCCCCGCCTCCTTTAGACACGCCTCCTTCGAGTCCACGAACACCGTCACATCCTTCCTCCTCAGGTACGCCGGATCAATCTCCTTCATATGCGGCTTATACGACCCCACCAACGACACATACCTCGTCCTCTCAGCCGTCAAGTACTCCACCGGAAATAGCGGCTCCGTAGCAGGCGTACAACAGAATATCGCATCCGCGCCCCCCACCGCCTCCCGCAACCTCCCCTCAAACCCGGGCTCGCCCACCGGTGCCAATGCCACAAACTTGCAGTCCGGACTACTCAAGCTCCACTTTGTCACCTCGTTCAGCTTCCTCGCCCCCGGCAATGCATCCCTCACCCGCTGCACCGTCGACCTCCCCACAATCGTAACTTGCAACAGACCCGGGATGAGGTTCATACACAGGCTGAGCGCCCACCGAGCCTGCTTCCCTGTGCCAAACACCACTATGCGCTTCACCGGCGTGCCCCGCTTGATCCTTCTCAGTAGTATAATCATGCTTACTAGCGCCGTCCGGTACCCGGTCAACTGCTCCGCTGCCAGTACCCCCTGTAGCTCCCCGGTTGTGCCATTAAAGATTGTTAGTGTGCCCTTGGGCGATGCCGAGGTTGTTGTGTTTAGTGTTACGGTCTTGACGGCTGTCAGGTCCGTGTTGGACGAGGGCATGAATAGCGTTGTGGAGCCATTCGAGGTGGTGATGGACTGGCGGAGGGGCTGGTGGATGTCGTACGGCCTCGTCGTGATCTCTGCCAGTGCCGTGGTGAGGATCTGGAGGGTTGAGAGGAGGGCGGGGGCGTCGAGGTTGTTGAGGATGTAGGATATATCAGCATCGGAGAGGACTAAGGGGTTCGGTGACATGGCAGGCTGAGCGTTGAGCTTTTGAATCCACGAGGGGGTCTTGACGGCTGGTGGTCGGGGTGGTTGAGGTGGTTGTGGTTGTGACATATGCTGCTGCTGGGGGAGAGAGAGAGAGATCGCTTTGGGTGAGTTGTAGGCGGGGTTGGCGGGAAGATGTATACGTATGTATCTTTCTGATGGCTGTCTCTTCAGGATCACCGTGCTCTGCAGCGCCGGCTAGTACGCTTCGGTCGTGTTCCTTCCCAAAGGGCGATGATTTACTGTGGAAATGGGTTAGCAGCCTGCCACAGGAGCATTTTACCGCGGCAAGAGTGTCGCTGGGAGTATAATAGTGACACATATATCTCAGAAGTATATGCCTCCACAGGTACTCTAGGCAGGGACACCCCTTGATAAGAAGAGAGTCAGGCATAGAGGAGGGAGAACATTGTGGAAATATGCATCTCCTCGGATCACAGTTGGGTTACAGATCGGGGTTTACATGGTGAAATAGGCCGTGTAGAGTACTCTAGACCGTCATGCCGTGTGTGCAATAGCCGGTGGGATTTACATCTTGAAATTGAGTTCCCTGAGATTCTGATGGGTCTAACTTAAGAAGAGGACTTGCGAGGGGTGGCATCTTGGAGTCAATGATACTGTAGTTTAGGCAGTCAATTATATTCGTCAATCACAGACCTCGACCCAAAGGCGGAGAGCAGGCACCCGCACGTGCTGGCAGAGGACGTGTTAAAAATAGTGTTTCACCGATCATTGTTTCCCGGAGACACCAGCACCATGGCCAGCGCCACGTGCCGCCAATCAAACCAAAGCACGTGAAACAGAACAACGAACGTCCAAATAAACTTTCCGGGTCCTCCAAACGTCTTACCGGGCAGGGAGGTGTTTGTCAGCGGCACATGTTTATCTAGCTTTCTCCGACACCGTTTGAGATCTGAGGGTTCATCCGGTCTTGAAGCAGGCTAGCAGCTTTGTTTGTCACGTGCACTGCGCTCAGGAGGGCTTGGCAGTTGTACAAAAATGACGTATGGTAAATACATGTAGTCGACGAAGTTTGCTACCCCATAAATCTCACCTCCTATCACCATCAACCCTGCTGTGTACGTCAAGTGTCAATCAAATGATCTCATTGAAATTATATCTTACGTACTTCAAGCCCCATGAGAGCTCAAATTAAATTTAGTTGATCATGATAATATTATCCCTAACCCTGCAATGCTCGAGTCAGGCTCCATGAAGTAGTCCCAAGTCAGATCCTGTGAAGTACATACATGTAGTTCCGAGTCGGACACAATGATATTCACAGAATTTCTCATACTTTGTGTGGATGGTAGTGACTATATAAAATCTGAATATCGTCCGCTTTTTGAAATATGCAATATGGCTGATTAGGAAATGATTTCTTTGTCCGTGACTATTAATTCACGACATGTATATCAGCTTCAAGATGCGAGTGATTGTGAAAGATGTAACTTTTTTTATCCACTATATCGTAGTTTAAAGAGTCTGAAGGTAAAACATTTACAGTCTCTAGCGCATACAAAAATCACACGTGACTTAGCAAATCCTTACAGCAGTACAGTAGCTACGTAGAACCAGGTATATACATCTATTTACACCACATACTCAAACCACAAATCTACATACTCCCACCACAACTACCACCCCCACCACCAAGAGCTCACATTCTCAAAATGCCAAAACGTCCAATAACTTCCTACTTCACCGCCGCACCCTCCAAGAAGCCCAAGCTCTCACTCCACTCCGACCTACCACCAAGCACACACCCCTCCTACCCCTTCCCAATCGCCTGTCTCCCGCCCTCGCTCGAATTGTCGTCCACCAAACCAGTAGAGAAAGATAACAATGAGAAAGATACCAATGAGAAAGATACCAACGAGAAGGATACCAGTGGGGAAAATGCTAATGAGAAAGATATCAACGAGAAAGTTCCCAACGAGAAAGCCCCCAACGAAGCTCCAGAAGCCTCAAAAACCACAAACGCCACTAAACCCCCACCCAAGAAGAGATCCCCCCGACCGCCATAACGCACAAACAAGACCTCTCCATCCTGCACTACCACCCCTTCCTGCACACCTCTCTGTCAAAAGAGCTATTCCTCTTCCTCCGAAAGCAACTCCCATTCTACAGGGTCGAGTACAGGATTGCCAGAGCCGGCGTGGAAACTAACGTTAAGACACCCCGATAGTACCTATCTCACTCATCCTCATACTATCCTAATCAGGAATGTTTATTAACCTTAATATTGCGTGAATTGAAGCACATCCCTCTTCGGCGTCGACGCAATCTCCTATTTCCACCCTCACTCCGGCGAGCTACTAGACACAAAGTCCAAACACCCGGTTCCGCCAGACCGGTACCGGTGTAGTCCCCGACCGGTGCCGCAGTGCGTGGAGATGCTGCGACAGGTATGTCCCAACCGGGCCGGTGCGCGGCAGCTATATAGCTATAGCTATAGCTATTTAACCGCACATATATACATACAATACCCGTACTCATACTTATCGACTCGATCTTATAGTATGTAGCGAAGCGTACGGGCTGCAGCTACAATTTCGTACTCATTAATTATTACGCTGACGGTAATGATTCGATATCGTAAGACTGCCGCATAAACGATTGAGCACTTTGTCAATGGGCGGTGATGTACGGTAGGGGCTGATCAAGAGGACCTATAACGCAGGTATCATTCCGACGACGAACGGTTCCTAGGTGAGAATCCGGCCATAGCTTCACTGTCACTTGGCTCCCGGCGCGATTTCCTCATGAAGCAGTAAGTATAGTATACTCCCATCCGATAACAAGTAGGCAGTTGGTTTCCCTTGCATGAGGCCTAATTGCTTGATTTTTGAGTATTTGTTGGATTTCAACATATTTTGACAAAAAGCCAATTCACAGTAAAACTGTCCCAGCACTAACTCACACCTTTCCTCTCCCCTCCGGGGATCTTCTCCTCATGCGGTCCACGACTCAATCTAAATGGCTCCACTCTATCCCGAAGCGCTCGTCATCTTCCAGTACCGCTGGTGACTCTACGGCTTCGTGGGCGGGCGGCGGGAGGATAAACATCACCTTCCGTAATGCGCTTGAGAGGGGCGGGACCGAGAATTATTACTGGTATGTATACATAGCTACATGTTGTAATTACTGGAAAATTTAAAAAGAAAGGAGGTGTTTGTAACTGATATAATCTCTTAATTTTAGTTATAATATTGGCAGCGGCCCAGTTTATCGCTGGGATGATGTTTCGGGGAAGATGGTGCTCAAGGCTTAAGGAATGAATCTTACATCATTTTTTTTTATAATAGAAAATAAGACCTTCAAACGGAAACCAGGCCTCATTGCCTCAAAAATATTATATTCGATATTTCTGTGAACTTTCTTCGTTTTTGCACGACCTATCACTCGGTTGGTGTCACCCTGATTGGGATAGGTGTTACAATAGTTAGCTGCGACTCCATTCCACGCCCAACAATCCGCCAAAGCCAGATTTACGATAAGCATAACCATGTACTAAGGTAGAGAGTAGTTTGATCCGCTGCGATTGGTCCGGGGTTTTCATGATTATTCCCTTAGTTATTCTACTTCTTCCGCCCGCCCATAGTTCCACAACCTCGCGAATCTTCCCGTCTGATCCCCTGAACCGTACCGTCAAAGAAGAAGGCCATACCCATCTATCTACTGGGGATGGGGGCAGGGATACCCAACTACCGGGGCTAGCTATCGACAACCTGAGACCTAGGCCTATGATTGACCCTAGTCAGTCCAGCTAAACCGCTAGCCCGGGTGCCTTGGTGGTTTTAGTGCTACTCCATCTACTAATTTGAAACAGAATAGGAAATGTGCAAATCAACTTTTGTGAAGAATTTCCTGTCTTTGAGGACACATAGGTAGAAACATAGATGCTCACGGGGTACCTGAACCATGAGTCCGATGTATGCAGTACGTCGGATCGCGCCGGGATCGGGACGCCGTGAGGTACATAATTTTCACTGTTGGACAGAAGAATCCCTATACTACGGAGCTGTTGGGTTATCGAAAGAGAAAAAAAAAATCTCAGCTGAAGGGGACCCGGAGATCCCGTAAATACATATGTATTCGTACTCACTGCGTCAATGTACGGCACCCATGTGTGCAGAAGGCATTGACACGGCACGCGATTATGCGGAGCTACTAATTTCACGGCTCCCGATTGATTTGAAACTAGGCATGTAAAAACAAATAGTCTGGGCCCCCCACTAAGAAACACAGCCCGTGATCGTGAGTAGTGATCGTTGTATGTAGATCATGGCGCTTATCCCGCCAAACAAACCCCCGCCCATTTATGTCTCAGTAACAGCAACGTCCACCATGGGTAAACGCTCCGTCCCGCTGGGTTTACATCGGTGATACATGAGGGAAACCAACCCGATGCTTTCCATATGCTGGGCATTACACAATGCTTTGGTATACTAGGTACCGCAACGATCTTGACCGAATTCGATATGCATATATTGCCAGGCAAGAGCTCGAGCCCCCTGATGCGGGCAACTCTGAAGAAAGGATATTTGACACCTCTGTGCCACGTCATTTAATTGATGATGACTGTACCCTAGAGGAGAGTATTTCAAGAATGTTGGGCCATGGCCCCACCGACCCTCGGCCCGATTTCTGGCATGCCTGGCCTAAGAAACGAATTTGTGATCGATCTCATGAGTTTCAAGGACAACCAGAGCCAAGAGGATGATCAAGATCCATTGTGATGTATATGAATTTGTGTCCCCTCAGAAGCGAATCTTGATCTTGGCGTGAATCAAATTATTTTGTCCGGCGAGTGATTGACGATGAACATGGCATGGCATCTGAAACACGGCATGTCACTCATGCGGGGGGATTATTAAACGGGATACGTCTGCACCATATCGAAAAAAGGCGGAAAACAGGCAGTCAAGGAAGGACAACCAGCACCAGGTTTTCACACAGGGACCAGCCATTATCCAAAATAGAAACATCAAGACAGTGGCATTTTTTGCTTGCTTTTTTAAATTTGAGAAACGTTTTTGCTTGGGTTGGTTTTTCGGTGGGTTATGTTATGCAAGAAAGAATTTCGGTGATGTGGCCGGTGAGTAGTACTGTAAGAAAAACAATACGCTATTAGCGTTAAAGTCAGACCCTCCAGCAATCATAGGATACATGTATGCTATCCCGCCACCGGGAAGTTCCAGAATGCCTTTGTGTGTGGTTATTCATGTGCAAAACTGAATTCAACGGAAAGCGTTGCGTTCTAGCGTGCGGCTGCAGAATGTTGCTATCGTGCACATATGTTTGCTGGCTTCTGGTAATAGTTTGCAATTTTTCGGAATGGATGCTATACGAAGCCAAAAGAAGGATTTTAGATGGCATGCAGCAATGCTCTGTGCTCATATCGAGATCCATTGGTTTTTGGGAATTGACTAACTTGTCATTGATGGTGGCATGATAGGTTGTCGGAAATTCTCCTCACGCTATCGCGGTCGAGAAACCCTGCGGACAGGAAAGGTCCTGCGCGGAACTGGGGGCCAACAAGAGTCTCGTGGTCGTTGTTATCGATGCGGGGATCGTCGCAACCTGTCTACGCCGTAACAGTGCCAACCATACAAATTCCCCGACCAAATTATTCCTGGTAACAACCTATTACAGAACCCGGCTCACTTCTTGTAGTGTCACTGGTCAAAGAACTGCTGGACGAACCATTTTTGCAGCCATTAGTTGATTCTCTGTGTAGGTACACATGCGGCTAGGTATTTTGGCTTGGCTCGTTCCTCTTCGTGGTATCTCTCGGAGAGTCAAGCTTCTTTGGCAGTTCGTACCCTTTCTTCCACCATTTTCCTAGTCGGCATATTGTTGTCTCGACTCAGTAATCGACCATTACTCACAGGACTTCTTGACGAGGTGTATGATTTTTGATGTGGATGGACATCTTCACGTGCTGCTGTCTTGTGCGGCGATTAGGGATTCACCGTTAGTTCAGACAAGCTTTCCTATCTCATTTAGCAAGTTGTTCCCATTCATTCTTTACCCCTGTTGGCAAAGGGCCTAGCTATGGTCCAGACTCCCGAGAATTTTCACTTGGAACTAGTCCATATTTTAGACTTCAGAGTTCGGACTTCAGGGTCCAGAACCCCAGAATCTCACCCTCTGACAGACCCTATGGCGCCATGGGTATGCATACCCGCTCGCTTGTCAGTCCCAGCTCTACCAAGAAGCGTCGATATCGTGTTATTCCAAGTTCTCATCCCTCATGCCCGTGGGAACCGTATGTAAAAGACATTGGGGCTGCCCTAACCTACTTCCTGGGCCACCGTAACGTAAAGCTGAAATAACCAGCCTTTGAAGGGCCCTCATCAAATCCACTCGAACGGGAATCCCGAGGTTATGCGATATTGGCGCCCAAATGCCCATTCAGGCGCCTTACTTGGACGCATTGCATCCCCGGGAACTGCCCAAGTAGGTGCTGCATCCGCCGGTGTAAAAGGATTCTGGGTGTGATACGTGTGGGCCTTTCAAACCAGGGAATAACTGTGCTGAGTTGTCAAATCTGGAGAAGGAGAACGATGCAATGTATGCGATATTAAACCGGCCTGGGTAAATAAAGATAAATCTTGTGCATATGAAGACAGGCAATACGCTTTCAGAGTTTTAGGGTCCTTACGTACCTGGCATGACAGCAGCATTTTACACCGTTTTCGGGTTTAGGGTGACATCTAATGGACGTGCCTATGAAACAACATACATGTATATATGTAGTTTGTCTGAAGAAGGGAGAAGCAGTAGAGATTCTTATCTTAAGGGAGGTCACACACTGTAGGCCTATAAATAGATAAGAATACAAGACATTAAGAACTTAAATCCCACGTGCACCAGACAAAAAGGCAAAAGAAAACGGCTTAAAAACATGGAAAATTACGAGGAAGTACCCAACCACGTGACCTTTTGGGTCTAAAGTTCCTGGGGAATGATGAATAGGATGCCTAGGGAAACTTGGCCAATATAAAGAATCCCTGGTGTCTACCTTCTCAGCACTTCCGACGGCCCGTCCCTTCCCGGGGAAGAGAAAAAAGGAATACCCAAATAATTAAGAAAAAGAAAATTCCCCGTGTGCTGCGCCATCCGATCCTAGATATGGAAGCCATTGATTATTGCATTCTACCGTTTTTCGTCCTTCTCCCATTTTATTCGCTTGTTTCTTGATAAAAACCAGAACTCCGTTTCCAATTTGGCAGTAAATATCTATTTGTAGCGCCTGGGTGACATTTCCTATGCCAACGAGTGGGAACGCGCACCATTGCTGGCTGATCTTATTTAACAGGAACCAGTGGTAGTACAAGTACCTTGGAGAGCCGCAGTGATTAACAGTAAGCATAAGTCTTAAAAAGTAAGGAAAATAGGAGTGTCTCATACTGCTGCATCTTTCACTAGGACGTTCCTCCCCCACCACATTAACGCCACAGCGTTTTTCACCCACACTAGTTACATATAAGGAGCACCAATTTTTAACAAGGAGTCGAAAATGCCCTTTTGTAAAAGTTGTTAGCTCATTACACATAAACCTTACGGACTAGAGATGGTTATATACTACTTACTACAGCCGTAAATTACACGGACAAAATCACACATTGTCTTCGGTATTGATTCGAGGTATCAGGAAGTAGTATATACTAATAAAGTTGAGAAATATCTAGATATAGATATGAGAGAGAACGTTTAGAGGCTTCGAGTTGGCTAGTAACGAGTGTAGGGGGGAAATCGAATTTCCACCTTGAAAAAAAAGTTTTATAGCAATAATTAAGGCGTGTGGAATTGGTCGTGATGTCGAAAAGAAGTTGTAGATGAAGGCCGTACTCTGCTCTCATACTTATAGAAACTCTCCTAAATCCAACTGATGTAATGTCGGTCAATGAAAGACCTTAAGACCAACTGAGAATTGAAATAAAAGCAAAAATCGGAAAAGTAATAAATAAAAAGGTTATTGAGTCTGTGTGTGCTCGAAACCCGATTCCAGGCAGGACCCCTGGTAAGCATCACTGCTCTCGAACATTCCGATTTGGGGTACATATGTCGAAATTCCCAGGGCCCCGATCCCTTGTCCTGATAAATTGGATAGCATTCGTCTACATGGTGGATCATATGGATTAATTGTTCCTCCCGACCCTGTATGTCTAGATCTCGCTGAATCTAGGTACCAACATCCCGCTTGAAAGCGGTGCTCGATTTTCATGCTGCCAAGATGGCAATGGATCGAGCTAATCGCATTTGCATCATCCGAGGGGAAACTATAATCGCTAAAGCAAGTTTGATGAGGTGGAAAATAGTCCGAATGGTTCCCAACGATAGGAAAGTGGTTCCACGGGAAACCCTAAAGCACAAGATGAGAGCCCACCTATAGCTGTGCCTCCGGGATGTGACAGACTATACTAATATCATGTAGACTGGTAATCCCAGGAATCCAAGGCCGCAGCTGGGCTGAATTAGAACTGGGGTCGTTTCAGTCTTTTCCTGTTCGCCATGGATTAATACTAGAACGCACTGTGGTTCCGTTGCTTAACCAGCGTTTGGTGAGGGATGGGGATCAATGGGATGGGGATGGGGAATAGTGGGTGGTGGATGGATAGATCAACATATCCCCTATGGGAAAATGTGTAGCGATTTGGTTGTTAAGTGTCTAGTACCCCACCAAAAAAGGAAAGAAAAGGATTCTTCAGGCTATTACGCGACCGTTTTGGCACTCTAAGACAAGAATTGCGCGTTGTCTCTTGCATTGACAGGGGGAAGTCTGTGGTTCATGAGCCGTTTGAGATTGCGAAAGTCGATGGGCATGGGATGATACAGGTATCCATACATGTACCCGATATTTCTCATGATCTCGCACCACATCAAATCTCCTTCCATTCTATTTCAATTAGATATGTTGTAACTATATTAGATCAAGGGAATGTAACATCGGCCTTTTCCAGCGTAAAGATATCAAACAAATTATTTGATGATCAGCCCCATGCACTGGCGCACCACTCTCTAGGTTTCTCCTACCCACTCGGTTTGTTCTAGACATCAGTTTATGCAATTAGAAATATGTCTTTTGCTAATTAGAACTCGACCAAGCTAAACAAATCCGAACATTTCAAATAGGGCTCGACGGAATCAAAAGTTATCTGAGTCGCAGATTGTAAAATTAACATTGAAGAGTGATCTGTTTCACCCCACAATTCATATTCCGCCGATGGATATTCTACATGTAATTACTGGCTGTCGTCAAATAGCAGAGCACAGATCATGTGACTTAAAAACATATATATGGCGTGCATTTCAGCTGCAGCCAAATTCAAATCTTTTGAGGTTTACCACCCTAGTACACGTAGACCATTGCCCAATTTTTATGCACTCTGCCTCTAGAGCACTCTCATTTTATAGATCGAACTCTAGAACAATCTAGAGTACTTAGGTAAAACACCATGTATGAATATACTCTACATATGTTGGTATGCAGAGTACTACATAAACTGTATGTAGTTAGCTAGTAAATCTAATACATACGGGTTGTAGTACTGTAGAGTAGAGGATATAGAGCACTTAGTTTCTCTAGAGCACATCGTGCGCTTTACTCCAAAGGTATCTACATGAGGTACCTGTACCTACATGTACTTTATGCGACGTGCAGTGGAAACTTCATGTACAATACTCTACATGCAGTACATACATGTACCTACAGAGCACTCAATTCCCCTACCATACCCTACCCTTCATGTACCCTCTTATATTGGATAAAGAAACATGCTGCATACACGTATGCATGTAAAGGGCCGTACGTTTTACTCCCTCAAGATACTGACCTCTTGGGTTGTCAATTGGGGAGTTGGCGTTTAACAGTGGCAGCACCCATACTTCGTTGTGCACTTTCGCAGGGTCGGGTGAGCTCTAACCATAGGCTAGATGCACACTAACACAGTCCAGGGTTTGACCAATCAAGTCGAAGCAGAGCTGGGAATGAACCGGGTTTTTTTCACTCAAGCCCAGCTTTCAACATAGGTGCGATGGTGTAGAGTACCTACTAGCTATGGTGCGCCCACTCTTAAAGATGACGAGAATCGGGCGAAAATTCGAGGGCTTATAACTTTGCCAAAAAAAAAAATTAAAAAAAATCTGTAAATAAAAAGTGCAGTACTAGTGATGAACTTTAGTTTTTATTTCCAGATTTTTGATATCTACTTTAGTTAAAAAGTTATAAGAGTTTGAAGTTGCGGATTTTTGTATGTAAAAGGCGCCAAGACTGAGCAAAGTGGAACAGTATTATACCCATTTATACCCTCAAAAATGAATTGCAGCAGGAATACAGCAAAGTGGCTAGGAATAAGCCCTCTCATTGGCCTTGGAGCTCACCTTGCAGCCACGATTGTTCCACTTCCAGATACCACCGTGTCACCTTTAAGAGTGTGCGCACCATACATGTACTTGCTACACCGCTCAACATTGGCGGGTCTCGGCTCCGCACGTTCCAGACGTTCCCAGTTTATTTACCCTACCGAGAACTAAGTGACTCTGCTTCCTGCCGATTCGGGCCGTTCCTTTTTGGGCCGCTCGTTCCGCACTTGGATGGTTATCTTCAGTTGAAGGCTTCTTCTCCCACGCGCAGGAAAATTCAAGTTACGAATTTTTGCTTACTAGATCTGATCTACGTAGTGTTTCAGGTGTAGACTTTAAGACTCTGCAATTTCTCGCAATGTGTTAGTTTTCATCGGCGTGGGGATTCTCCTGCAGAAGAACGGATTAGGACCATTCTGGATGTTTATCCCGTCATTTCCAACCCAGCGTAGAAGAGATTTCTCGGTCGACATGTATTGCAAGTTACAGGTTCCCAATGTCTGGCTGGGCCGGGTTGACATCCTAAATCCCAGGTTATCAGCGACTCATCATGCGCAATTTAGTATATGTACACCATGCGTGTATGTTTATAATTAACACCACAGCTATGAATGGAGATATCTATGACTACAGACTAGGCTCACTGCAAGCTAGCATCTATTGAGATTGCTAAATGAAGATTCCGCTCACTATTTTCTTTTCCTAGCTACCAATGTTAGAATGGGCAATATAAAACCATCCACTATCAAGAATACTATATTAATCGGCCTGAATCAAAGTGTGTACATACATACGTACAGTCTATGCAATAGTCCTAAAATTCTGATGGGTTGCATTACAGACCAACAAATTTCCGCGGGTCTGTCTTCAGCTCGATAAACACCGATTTCTACAAGCCATCGAAAGATGTACTGAATTCTTAAGGTGCATGATGGAGATTATTGTTGAGTACTTTGATGCTGGAGCGATCTTCCAATTACCTCTGTATGATGGTGTATGTACCGCAACGGTGTAAAATGCGTTCCAGGGCGTCCCTGATCGTTCCAATGATTACCCTTGAAACGAGATAATGCTGTGACTGACTGCATGTATGCACCTATTAACTGAGCTCTAGGCCGCCCTCTGGTTTCTGAACTCTTCCACCTGGATTTGCCATATGAGTAGCCGAGATCTTTCCCGTGAGGGGAAAAAGGAGGAACAATGATGTGCTGAGACATTCTGGGGGCACGTGCCAAATATTAATTCGATAGCTAGGTACTAATATGGTATAAGGAAGACATCCCAGAGTATCTTAGCAGCCGTTAAAACCCACATAAAGCGTATAGAAATGACTTGCAGTACGTGCTTGAGACTGTTTTACCTTATTTTTCACCAAACGAGTGACTTTGGCTCTACGCAATGGTAAGAGTTCATGTGCCATGTGTTATATCCCTAGCTAGGCCAGGCCAATGTCGTAGATACGTACATGTAGCTTATACGGGATTAAACGTAAAGAGGAGATAGAAGGCTGGAAACAAAAGAAAGAAAAAAACTGCAGTTGGAAATGCTCACTTGCGGTCGGAAACCTAGCCCCATCCAGTGAACAACACTCGACATATACGTATACGTACATATCTGTATATGTACATAATGTAGGTACCTACACCGAAGAAAAAGAAAGTCTGGATACACTACAGCCTAGCTCAAGAATCTGGCCCGCTATGTGTACATCTTGCTACTATTCCATAAAGGTTTCCTGTTATACTCAAAAAAAAAAAAAAGCATGCGGTTTTGAGACCCGTTATATGATTATATATCGATATATTTCATTCTATATTATTTATACCTACCTAGTGCTGCATATATGGGTATATACCACGTATTATAACATATCGATATATCTTATGTACATGTAGTACGTTCAAACTTTATGGTTACGAGACCATTTGCTTTGAAGCGTTTATTCTATCATAATACGTAACCAGAGTTAAAATCGTGATATTTCGAGGATCCTAGAAAAACCTAGTGACAAGTTTTCACCGACCGATGGTGGTGAAGTTTGGACGAGTACGTCTCTAAGGTGTTTTGGCCAAGTGACTAAAGTACCTAAACGTATACGTAGGCAATGAAACTAACCGTACCTACATTTCACTCCTTTTAATATATGGTAATTTCTGTAGTTTGATATATAAATTTATCGGGTAAATATTATTATACAGTGCCAAAAAAGGGGGGATATAATAGCTATTTTAGAATTAGTACAGGACTTCATAAGACCTCCGAATTAAATCAGAATCCTAACAATTCTACCGCAACCTCGTGGTATTCTACTATAGCTACATGTAGATAAGGTGAATGGTATATATTTAGGCACGTCGCAATATATAAACAGTTGTAATATATTGATATGTGTAAACGAATTTTGCGGAGGAAGGACACTCAGCCGGAGATATGTATATATCAGATGATCTGAAGAGTTAGAAGTAAACCTAATGAACGCCGACTAGAGCGGGTGGGAAAACACTAGTATTGGAGAGTGTTTTGACGTATGTAGTAATAGACCTTATATGTATCTATTATACATTTTCGAAGCTGAAAGTTGAGGTACCGTTGTCATGTAGTTTGAAGGTTGGAAAACATCTGATATTGCAGAACCACTGGAGCTCGTGTTACCCACCTACAGATGATATTCAGGAACATCTCCGGCTCATCCCCCGTAGTGGGTCCCATGCAAATAACTGCTCAGTAAGTATAAGGGGTTATTACCATTTTCAGTCGCAATACTTAACGCGTCATGATAAGCCTATTCTCGTTTCTCGTCTCTCCGAATCAAGGGTATTACTCTGAAACGTTAACCCATAATAGTGGATTTCTAAATATAGTAAGTCAACATTTCACAGCCGAGCCATCATATATCATTGTAAAAAAAAAACCAAGTTGCTTCATATCGATTCAATTATGTTAACTATTTATCTAGTGTTGTACAAGCGTTTCCAACCATATAGGGGGGGAAATAAAACAATTATGGAAAGAGGCATCCCAACTCAGGTACCCGAAATCTCGTTAACGGGTAACAATGTCCGGGTGGCCAAGCACGTTTCAAGACATTTAAAATAAACTAAATGTGTTCCGCAACGCCATAGTAGACTTAGAGCAGAGTCAATATAACCGATTTACCGCGGATCACCTGGATCACCGTTCGTCTTCTTCGTCATCGGCTGCGTCTAAAGCGTCGTTGTCTACCCAACCTTGGGCCTTCTTAACAGCTTTCTCCCAAAGTGAGAATAAACCGCTCCTTTGCTCTTCGGTTGTTGAAGGGGTAAATGTTTTGCGGCCTTCCCGGTTGATATTTTTAAGTTCATCGAACTCTTGCCATACGTTCACCGCAAATCCTGCCGCAATTGCAGCACCGAGAGCCGTTGTTTCACGCATTTGAGGTCGATCAACGTCAATCCCTAGAATTCATGTTAGCAAGACCATAGTGGTGTTGGAGTTTTTTTTGGCATACCCATAATATCGGCTTGTAGCTAATCCAATAATCAGCAACCATACTTTTGAAGTAGAGTTAGATTTCTTAGTTGAACATACCTGCATGCACACATCGGAATTACTCATGCCTCCATCAACAGCAAGCGTGTGTAGTGCTGTACCACTGTCTTTCTCCATAGCATGGAGAATAGCTTTCGTTTGGAAACAAGTTGCTTCAATAGTTGCTCTCGCGATATGCTCTTTCGTGGTATATTGCGTGATACCGACTAGTAGAAAATCAGTCACTAGTACTGAGCATCTTCAACGGGTAAACTCACAGATGGTACCCCTGGCATCATCGACCCAATACGGAGCAAATAGTCCGGAAAATGCGGTAACAAAAACAACACCACCACTATCTGGGGTCAAATTAGCTTATCCACCTATATAGCCTGGGAATCCCGAGAGAGATTTCGAGTTCTAAAGGCCAACCTACCCTTGACTTTGGATGCCAACTCGCCAATCTCGCCCGAATGTTTGATTAACCCAAGGTTATCCCTCAAAAACTTTATGGCGGACCCCGCAACGGCAATTGAACCTGGAATGAAGGATTAGATCAATAAGGCCTGTTTAGATTTGTATTGGAAGAGCACATACCCTCTAAGGCATACACTGGCTTGTGGCCTTTAAAAGAATATGCAACGGTGGTCAAGAGGCCATTACTCGATACAACCGGTTCATTCCCAGTGTTATATAGAAGAAAGCATCCGGTACCATAGGTATTTTTCGCCATCCCTGGGGTGAACCCACACTGCCCGACCAGAGCAGCGCTCTGGTCACCAAGACATCCGGCTATTTTTATACCCTTAAGAATGCCATCGCTAAGCACCCCATACGCATCAGGATCCGACGATGGCACAATCTTAGGCATATTTACACCTCTGACACCGAAGAAGTCTATTAGGAAATCATCGTACTCTAATGTTTTGATGTTGCAAAACATGGTTCGTGACGCATTACTAGGATCTGTGACGTGTAGTCCAACCTTGACTCCGCCAGTCAAGTTATACAATAACCATGAATCAACTGTTCCAAACGATAGACGGCCGGCTTTCAGCGCGGCCTGGACAGCCGGGACATGCCGTACCATCCATGCTAACTTGACACTGGAAGGATAAGTAGATAGTGGAAGGCCGCATAGTTCTCGCAGTTTTTCAGAACCTTCTTTCTTGCGCAATTCGTGAACAAGTTTAGATGTTCGAGTATCAGGCCAAACAATAGCGTTGTAGAGCGGCTTTCCTGATTCAGTATCCCAGACAACCTGGAAACAGCAAAAAGGATCAGCAGCTGTACCGGGTTAATGGATTTAAAGTTTCACTCATTCCTGTTTGTAGAGAAATATAAAGCAAAATGTGGGGAAATTATTTACCGTTGTTTCACGCTGATTAGTGACGCCAATAGCTTTGATATCTTCCACTACATAACCATCTGCAACAAACTCCTCGGTGGCTCGCTCAATGCACGTTTTTACTGAATTTACCAGCTCATATGGATCGTGTTCAATCCATCTATTGATTTATTCACTGCAGTTAGCACCCATAGAGGATTGACCGCGCTTGTATGGTTCGGGGCCAATTACCCCGAGTGTGGATATAGCTGCTCAAACTCCATTTGGTAGCTTGCACGTGGTGTACCAGTACTATCGAAAATCAAAAACCGAGAACTTGTTGTACCCTGGTCGATAGCGGCAGTGAAAGCTTCTCTCGGGACATTTTTTTGACGTGGACGAGGCACAGTAGGATTATGAGAATAGTTGTTCAAATCACTACGAGTGGATCGACGGCTACTAATAGTGCTACTGCTAGCTGAAGAAGACGCACGTGTTTTTGAAGAACTGGAACCCATTAGAATTGGCAGTGGAGGGTGACGATGATGATATTCCCTTGCAATTAGGAGGAAGGGGGGATAGAAGGGATCTCTATGGGGATGAGGGAGAGGGAGAGAGCAACAGCAACAACAGGAGCAGCAGGAACAGACGGGTGGACGGAGGTACTGAGGGTAGACAAAAAAAGGCTTTTGACGAGCTGGGGAATGATAATTGAGTGTGTTGTCGTGGTTGTGGAGGTTGTGGAGTTGAGAAGGAGGGAACACGGCAGTCCTTATTGATTTCAGAAGGTGTGGGTGCGACGACGAGAGAAGGGGCGAATGTGAGTGTGTTCAGGCATTTTATTAATCCGGTTGTACAAAGCACGAGGCTACGAGGGTGGTGTCTTGAAAACACGATTGTTGAGGGGCGGCGGTGATAACAAAGGCGGGTGGTGTTCGTGACGATAGAGATGGGCATAATTTTTTTTTCTTGTTCGTGGGGGATGAGAAAAACGTCACCCTGGGAATGTGTTCTCGTGACTGAGGCTGATTTCACCGGTTGAAGACTATCTCCGCATGACCCATGCCTTACACAACTTCCATTTCCATGAGCACAATGTACCTACCGAGCACAGGAACGGTAAAGCGTTGCCCGAGGGCTTGGCCGCTATCTTCTCCGCAGTCGTCCTCACTCGGGGAAATATGCCGAAAGTCCTACTGGAGCCTCAATTTGGTCCAATTCAAGCCAATTCAAGCTTCTTAGCGTTGCTATTCATAAAGCAGGACCCCGCACCCCGCATGAGAAGGAAAAGTAGAGTGGGAATCAGGCTGATCCATGATGCGTCCGTGCCTTTGTGCCTTGATAACGGAAACCCGACTGGCTGTGTCTTCTCTCACGGACGGCAGACAAAATTTTTCCGTGCTTGGTATGTGCTTGGTTGCTTGGTATGATCACTCAACCGCCACCCATTACTCTCTCATCGCTCATCCGATGAGTGTCAACGCAATCCCTTCGGCTTTGACGTTCTTGCTTTGCGGTTTGTCATTAGTGTTGTGCCTAGACCACAGCCACTATATCAATTTTTCTACCTACTCTACATGTATGCGGACCCAGTCCATTCTAAAGATGTCGGCATTTGTACTGTTTACAGCGTCCTGCGCACGGTAAGTTGTTGTGCCGTCGGCCGCACACGCACGCACTTACACACTTCTACACACCTACAATGCAGCGCGGACACACAGATAAAAAAAAAAAATCAGTTGAAAGGAAGGAGAACGAAAAAAGAAGAAAACATATGCAGCAAGGATGCTGAGAGAAGCACTCTAATCTCGTACCCAGAGTCATTGCTTGCTGCATACCGTGGGGCACACCAATAGGGACTGAAAGACTGGTACGCTTATGTTGTGTAATGCAACGCATGTAGGTTATCCTAACCAATGGTTGATACTGCTTGGTATTGTACCGAGAAAGAGAAAGAAAGAAAAAAAAGAAGATAACAAAGTGTGAGAAAAAAATTCACTGCTTTCCGAGATATACCCAATTCCAAGACACCATAAGATTCAAACTAACCCGAAATTTGACTTTTATTTATTTTGAACACAATTAGGAAAAAACACTTAGATCTTGATGGCAGCATCCAACGCCTTTTGCTTCTTGGCTGTAAGAATAATTAGAACCCATGCTCAGAAAGTAGGCGTAGAATTTCAGGAAAACTTACCAATCTTGGCGTTGGCCTTAGCACCCATGATACCACCTCCCCAGTGCCTCTTCTGCTCCTCGTACTTCTCGAGGTAGCCCTCCTTCACGGCGGAGATGAGCTTGGAGAGCTCGGCCTTGTCCTCAGCACGGACTTCGGTGATCGCAAGAACAGCGGCGGTCTAGTCATGAGAGTAAGAGACTGGAAGAACAGAAACCAATGTTAACAAATATAGATACGAACCTTCTTGTGAACAACGGTTCCGAGACGGGCCTTGCCCTTGATGATGGCGTAAGGAACACCCATCTTCCTGCAAAGAGCGGGAAGGAAGATGACCAATTCAATGGGGTCAACGTCGTTGGGGATAAGAACCAAAGAGGCCTTCTTGTTTTCGATCAAACCAACAACGTGGTTAAGACCGTACTTCACGACATAAGGCTTCTTGCCGACGAAAGAAGCCTTGTCCTTGCTATCCTTGATAGCTGCGGCTTCCTGGACCAAACGCTCCTTCTTTTCGGCCTTGGTCTCAGGGCGGTACTTGTTGAGAAGACGCAGAGTTTGAGTAGCAAGGTTCTTGTCGAGAACATTCTGGAACTGGGCAATGGCAGGTGGGACCTTGAGACGGAGGTTCAAGACCTTCTTACGGCGTTGGAGGAGAACATACTCCGGCCATTTCACCATACGCGAAAGGTTCCTACGGGGCTGGATATCCTGGCCAATACCGAAGTTGCGAGAACGCTTCTCAATGAGAGGGTTCTATCACGACAACTGATTAGTAATTCGAACCGGAGCAAAAAGTCCGAGTTCGGTTATTTATCTCGGATAAAATGGCCCGGGGGGTGTAAATACCTTGGCCTTCTTGTTGGCACCTGCCCTCTGCTGAGGGAACGGGGCAGCGGCGGTCTTCTTTGATTTTGCGGGCTGGTCATTGAGAGATTTAAATCAGCGAATATTCTTCAACAGATTATAATCTACTCTAAAAGTCTCGTGGCATATGCAATAAAGCCATCAGCACATGAGACTTCAGCCATTTCAAACATAAAATCGTGAGCAGAATTCCACCTCACAAGAGCATAAAATCTGCAATTGTTCGGCATCTTTCGCTCCGGATTATGTATGATGCAAAAGACCTTTCCAGAGCTCCTTCGTCAAGGATTTTTACCTCGATGACGGCGGAGATGAAAAAGTTCCAAATGGCGATGTCGTAGCCGAGGCGTTTATTGCAGCCGTTCAGGAAGAATGAAGGGGGAGCACGAGGGGAAGTACCATGGTGAATATTTTGGCCGGACGTGGACGCTGGTTGTCGTAGGTTTAGTTGTCGTTTGGTGCTGTTACGGACATGAGAATCCTTTTGTTAACCGTGATCGTACGTCGTGATAGTGGGGGAATTGTGTGTGCCAAGTCTGGGACTGCTTTTTAGACCTACCATGCACCCAATAATCTGCCAAGATCAGTCACGTGATTCATATTTTTCTATCCTGTTGTTTCTACATACCCCATCACTCGAGGTCCCGGTCTTCCAAAACCGCTTAATACAGGTGCCAAGAAATGGTAACCCGTTCCTGGCACGAATTGGCGAAATTGGCCACCTTGAATGATACATGCACATGTGTATTTACTCGTACATAAGTTTTATAAGCGGTCAGTATTGGGCTGAGGCCGCATATAGGCGGATACATGTATCGTGCTGTAGGTTACATGTAATACTCTACAGGTACATGTATGTAAATACAGTCATTTACGATATTTGTGGTATGTACTGGTATGTGTATAAAACGCCTATAAGAATACTATAGAAGCTTTGCAGTAGATCCATGTGTTTTACCCAACTCCCTTCACAAGAGAACTCGAAGAACGGGAATGCTCAGGCTAAGAAGAAGAGACTATAAACGTGCACATAAGATATACATGTATTCACACTTTGCCTACTTGCAGTTGTGCCTACATGTACATGTACATGCAGTTATAAAGTCAGTACAAAGACTTGAATTTGATAATTAAATCATTTAGTGAACTATTCTAACTTCTTATACACATGCTTAAATCCCAGTCGATCGCTAAATACCCCATTAATACCCATCTTCGTTCGTATCGTTCGCGTGTAACCAATTATTCTAGGATTCCTCATCCCCCGCCTTTTTGTCTTTACTTTTTCCTTCACTCCTTTGCTCTTTTCTAGATCCTTTCTTGGTATCATTTCTGGTTTCCTTCTTCGAATTATCATCGCCGTCATCGCCGTCTTTGTTGTCTTTATCGTCTTTATCGTCTTTATTACTTTTGTCGTTCCCGTTGGCGTCATTTTCTTCCTCATCGGCGGCGTCCTGCTCTTTCTGCGCCTCCGCCTCTTCTATTTTCTCTCTTGTAACTCTCATTTTACGTTCGTTTTCTTCCTTTTGCAGATTTTCCCATTGGGAATCACGCAGGTCTTGAAGATAGGCCGCTGGACCTGGAAGTTTTGAGACTCTATCCCCGATCTACAAAAGCTGTTATTAAATGTGCCAAAAAAGATATAAAAAATAAAAAATAGAAGAACACAGGTTCATTTACTTGACCACGCCCAACCAAGGTCATCACGATTGATGCACCCACAACGAATGTTAATAAGAATCTATAGGTCATGTACCACCTTGGTGCCCATCCTTTACTTGTTGCTGTCGAATCTGCGAAATACATCCCGGTGAAGCCAACGAACTGTGCAATCAATGCTATATTGACAGGCAGTAACAACTGTTATACAAAGACTAGTTAGATATTGGTCTAAAAGCAGTGATATAACTCAGTGCTTAACTTACCGTTGGCCAAGCAATTACTGGCGCTAGAATACTCAGCGAATAACGTTTATAAGAGTGTTTGCCGCCATACTCCGCCATCTCTAATCCCCAATGAACAGCGCCCAAAAACGATAAAATAACGGCACCTAGTCCAACTTGTAATGGTTCCAAAATATGGAGAAGGTGCCCCGCCGTTTCTTCGCTGATTAAATATCCCATGCCGTTTTCCTGCGAATAGTTTATATCCCATGCAAGGTAAAGCGTTGATAGAGATGTTCCGAGATATGGGACTAAGCCGCCAAAACCGATGTATAGAACCTCCTTTGGCACCTCACTTAATTGAAATGTTTCCTTGACTGTCCTCTATAAAATATGATTAGTATTCATATCCGCTAAGTATAAATTAAGGGACCCACAAGGTCGGATTTCAATCCGCGAAGCATATCCAGCTCATCTCCTGATTCGTTATGCGCTTCTGTATTTCGGGGCTTAGGATCGAATATAGGGGTCATGCTACTCGTGGTTGTGACTTTCTCGGGATTGGATTCCAATTTTTGCTGTAAGGCATTCTCTCTCTCTGCCTCGATCTTTGATCTCTTCTCGATTTTGATTAAGTTAAGTGGAGTACTGGAAAAAAACGACTTTGAGACTCTCCCAGTGTTCGGAAAGTGCAGGGTCACGGGCCTCTGTTCTGGATATGATTGTAGTTGAGGAGCCTTGAGACGATGTTTGACATTATTACTGAACGAGTGCAGGCTGCGTAGCCCTGCCAAAGAACGTTGAGGCGAAATACGACGTGGAGAAACTATGCGAAACATTGTCCTGATGGGTTGATGAAGAATTTTGAAAAGGAGGTCCAGCAATAAACGAAACCTTACATAAAGTGCCTTTGGATTGATACATGTAGAGCAGTTGTTGATATACTCATTGTGACGTCATCTCATGGCATTGAGCAATCCGTTGTCAACGTCATAACAAATCGAACGTCAAAGTTAAGGACTGACAGGTAATGTACCCTGAACATAAATACCCGGATATCTACATGTGATAGCCTACATGTAGATATTCAGGTTATCAGTACTCCATTTACCATGGATCATCGCAGATCACTCGAAATTGTTTGAATGAGGAATTAAAGTGGTCATGTCATAGATTAGCGCTGCGCCTGCATATCTCGGGTATTTATTATGATCATTGGCATACTACATGTACTCTACTTACCAGTAAAAGAATCAGAAAATGCAAGTGACGGAAACAGGGATTATTTGTATGAGAGAACGGCGCCACTCCATACAAACTACATGTATCCTTACATTAAGCAACCGCGTTTTCTAGTTCTTTGCTGGTAAGCAAGTATCTACAAAGATATAGGTACACGAAGTTTTTTTGTAGTTTTTTCGTTTGAGCCAGTCTGATAAGCTACATGTACTCGCGCGGCCGAGTTTCAACTTAATCACATGACCTATGAGAAGCATAAAAAAACTTGTTAAATAACGTCACGTGAGTAAGTCAAAACTCGGCCGCGCGAGTAGGTAATCGTGGGGTTGACATATGAGGCGGGGAGCTTTCTTGGCACATCGCCACTAGTGAGCCAGGGTGCATGGGTTACTTGTATCGCACACGTCATTGGGATTGTGTCTGCGTTCTGGTATGCATAGCGGGGGTTGGTAATTAACGCCCATCGCTTTCAGTTCCCACTCAGATTCACAGTCACCACCACCGCCCTCTTGTCAAATACCCCAGCTAGCTGAAGGTGTTAGCGAAGCGTTTGTCAATCTCATAACAGAATAAACATTCATTACAACCACAGGACACCAGAGCGGCTAAAGGTACGACTGACAGAACACTTGCGATATCATCCGAGGCTGTCTACGGGTGATCATACGAGAACTACGACCAAACTCCTTACTAGCTTTAGTTTCAGGAACTTCAGCAATCATGTTGGAAGGATTGGTATGTTGACCTTTGAAAGACCTCTTTAGTTTATGTTGAGCCTATCATCTTACGAATATTGATTAGATTGCAACGTTGATGAACCGATTCCTGGGGATGTATGATGCCCGTTGTTCGCCTTTTGGTGTTGTGCATGCTTATAATGTTTAGGTATATCAAAAACTTTGATAGTAAACAGCTGAACGTAGGAATATGGAGGTATTTAACTCAACCCAAAGTAAACTTAATGTATCTGATGATTTTGGTAGCGGGGATGTGAAGTTACGGAACCTGGAGTTGAAAAAGGAGGCCTTAGATCAAATGAAGCTGCCTCTTAATGTATCAGAAGGTCATTTAGGGCAATTGACTTTACAGTAGGTGGATCATTCTATAGCCATTGAACTCGAGTAACTCATGGTATCCATTTAGAATTCCATGGAGTAATCTCAAAGGGAAGCCGGTTAAAGTAATCATCGAGGATGTATACTTACTAGCAGCCCCAAAGGCCGACCAGGAGGTGTGTTCGCATCCATTTCATTCTTTGGTGGTGTTTCTGGCCCCCCGGACTAGGATATGTTTCTCTGACCGTGAACCATGTCCCCTCTGTGAGCAGTATGACGAAGAGGAAGAGGAACGTAGGCAACAAGCCGTAAAACAGGAAAAACTTCAGAACGCAGAACTTCTGCAAGAACGAAGCACTGAAGGAATGTCTGATGAGGAGCAACAAAAGAATTCTAGTTTTACCAACAGTTTGATAACCAAGGCAACTATAAATATATCTTCACAAGGGTGAGGCTAGTCTGCTAATATTCTGAGATACAGATTTTGGACAATTTGCAAATCACAGTCAAAAACATTCATATAAGATATGAAGATTCCATTAGTACTCCGGGGGTGAGTTAGTAATGCACCGTATTAGTAATATAAGAAGCTAAGCCTAGTAGCATCCGTTCGCGCTTGGATTTACTCTCGAAGAGTTTTCCGCCGTATCTACAAATGAACGCTGGGAGCCAAGCTACGTTCAAGACAATGCCCCAGTAACCCACAAACTTGCTAAACTTGGGTCGCTCGCTATTTATTGGAATACCGATGCAGAACATTTTCGCGGCGGCAAAAAGCCTAAAACTCATGACGAAATAATAGAGGCGTTCAAAGGACTTATCGCTAGTGGCGATCACATTCCAGATGATCATCAATTTGTTTTGAAACCAGTGAGTGGGGAGGGTCGTATTGAGATGAGTAAAACCGGTAAACCAGACAGGCCCAAATTGAAGGCTCAATTGATATTTGATGAGATTGGATTCATTCTTGACGAGGATCAATATCGAGATGTTCTTATGATGGTCGATCTCTTCCATTTTTACATTCGCCACCAACAGTACAAGAAATACCAGCCCAAGGGCGTTACACCAAAGGAAAACCCAAGGGCCTGGTTAAAGTTTGCCACAGATGCTGTACTGGCTCAGATTCACGAGAAGAATAGACAGTGGTCGTGGGACTACTTTAGGGAAAGACGGGATGATAGGAAACGTTATATTGCACTTTTCAAGAAGCAAAAGAAAGAAGAACTACTAGATCTGGACGAGGAGGAGGAATTAAGAAAGCTGGAATGGAAACTGTCCTACCAAGATTTAAGGTTCTATCGTTCACTAGCCAGGAACCAGCTTAGGAAAGAAAGGGCGTTGGTAAAGAAACCGGAGGAACAACAGAAACCACAGGGCTGGGTGGCATGGGTGTGGGGGTCGGCCCCTAAAAAAGAGGAGGAACACGGCTCTAGTGAAGTCATGACGGAGCAACAACGCAAGGAATTATACGATGCTATTGATTGGGACGAGAAAAAGATCATTGCGGAGTCTATTGACCTTCCTCGTGAAACAATAAAAATGCAGATCGAGGCGAGTTTAAGGACTGGGAGTTTTACCCTCAAAAGAGACCCACATGGGAAAGGAACGGAGATTCTGTCTCTGCTTTTTGACGCTTTTCAGTCGAGGGTGTTGCAGCGCCCGGATTCATTCTACGGGGAGCTTAGTCTTGGAGGCCTCAGAGTTTATGATGGCACAACCCCAGGTTCTCTATTTCCACAGATCGTAAGAATCAAGAACCAGCCAGCGCCTCCCGTGGAACATCATATCGAAGAATTGGACGACGAGCAAACATCGGAACAACAGCTTCAGAAGGAGTTGGAAGCTCCTTTCTTCCAGGCTTCGTTTGAACAAAACCCCCTCGATGAAAGTGCTGACTCTGCAATCACAATGAAGATGAGGAGCATGGAAATCATATATAATCCCCGTTTTGTGGAAGAGATATTCAAGTTTTTTAAACCACCGGAGCGACACATGGAAAGTATCGGCGCACTGATGGAATCTGCTGGTGCCACCGTGGAGGGAATTCGACAACAAACACGGGCTGGTCTGGAGTTTGCGTTGGAAGAGCACAAAACGCTTAATGCCAAGCTGGATCTACAAGCTCCTTTGATTATTATTCCCGAGAGCTGTACTGAAAAAATGGCTAACTGTTTAATCCTTGACGCCGGTCATGTCAGTATAACGAGTGATCTGGTAAAAAAGTCAGATATCAAAGAAATACAATCGAAACAGAGGCAAAGATACAATGACGAAGACTTTGCTCAGCTTGAGCGATTAATGTACGACAAGTTCTCCTTGAAATTAGAATCAACGCAGGTTCGTATAAAACTATAATCAAAAAAAACAAAAAACAAAAAAACAAACTATAAATAAACTAACGTAAAATTAAGGTTCTAATTGGGCCCTCTATCGAAGAAACTGTTGCCCAGCTTCAAAAGAGTTCTGATAGGAAACACCTTCATATCGTTGATCGAATTAATATTGATTTTACAGTTGAGATATCGATTCTTCCAAAAGCACCGAATCTCACCAAATTCCGGCTTTCGGGACATCTTCCGGTTCTCCATGCTTCCTTATCAGACAAGAAGTATAAAGCCCTAATGAAAATCATTGACCTGGCAATTCCGAACCTCGACGGTAGCGAACCAAGCACATTGGAAAGACCAACAAAGCCACAAATCCAACAAGCTCAACCCGAAGGATATGCAGAACTCCGGCGTCCAAGTGCCTTTCAGTTCTCTGCACAGAAGGAGCTGGTATTAGATGATGATAGTGACTCTGATGACGAGCACGAGCAATTTGAAGAAGCATCAGACGGGATTCCGGATGATTCGCCAAGCATACATCAACGAACATTTGAACTCAAGTTCACCGTGGGGGAATTACGGGGATCACTTTTCAGGGCGGATCCCGAAGGGGAAAGTCCAGACAAGGAGTTGGTCCTTTTGGTTGCAGAACATTTTGCCTTAGATTTCTACATTAGACCATTCGATATGGGAGCGGAAGTGGTCCTCAAATCATTGAACGTCGAGGATCTGATTGACGAGGACCCATCACCGGATTTTAAACGTATAATTACTTCTGACGCTATGCAAGAACAGAAAAATGACAACCCACTATTCTTCGTCAAGTACGTCAAAGTCAAGCGCGAATCACCAGAGTATATGACCGTTTTTGAAGCAATTGAAACGAATGTAGACGTATCTATCTCAACAATTAATGTGGTTGTAACACGAAAAACACTTCTCACCCTTCTTGATTTCATTATTACAACGTTCACGAATCCCGGTGCACCACCTGCACCACCCCAACCCCGAAGAATTGAAGACCTGAAGGACGACAAAGAAGAGCAGGTAGATCAGACCTTGGCTAAACTTGCTCCCGAGGCCGACAAAATTCGCGTCAAGATTGATTTGGATAGCATTGCACTCATCTTGAATAATGATGGAATTCGTTTAGCTACGTTGAGTCTTGCGAAGGCTGATGTCGGAATTTTTCTTATGGGGAAAACTATGCGAGTCGGAGCTCGTCTTGGAAACTTCTCCCTTTTTGACGACATTAACGAAGGTGCAGGCGAAGCGTCGCCATTACGTCAATTGATTAGTATTCAAGGAGAGGAGCTTGCTGATTTCCGATATGAAACTTTCGATCCTGATGTGAAGAGCTCATACCCTGGGTACAATTCATCCGTTTACCTCCGCTCTGGTTCAATCAAAATAAACTTTGTGGAGGAACCATTCCGAAAGATCATTCAGTTCGCAGTCAAGTTTGGGAAGATGCAGGCTCTATTCAATGCGGCTAGACAGGCTGCTGTTAACCAAGCTAGTACACTGCAAGAAAATGCCGACAAGATGCATTTTGACATTATAGTTCGAACACCGATTATAGTTTTCCCCAGGATACTCACAAAAGATAGTATAGAGCGAGATGTTCTGACAGCATACTTGGGAGAGCTTTATGCTCAGAACAAGTTCGTTCCACTTGAAGACGGTGAAGAATCAGCAATTGTAAATAAAATTTCGGCCGGTATCAGGAAAACCCGACTTACATCTGAGCTCCACTTCGAAGATGGCCGGAAGGAACTGCTTGAGCTGCTTGATAAACTAGACCTCACATTCGCAATCACATATATGGAACACATTGAGAACACAAAAAGGCCAGACTTAGTGGTGAGCAATTGGATATGTCATCATAAATAGTGGGTTCCGAACTAATACAACCTAAAGATAGAGAGTGGTATGTCGGATCTCAACTTGAAATTGACCCAAACGCAATTCAAATTTCTCCTGGAGCTTTCTCGGTCAATCCCGGCCGTGTTTGCTGGCGAGCTGGATGAAGAAAATGTTATTGAGGAATTGCCTTCCGAAACTTCAGAGCCGGCTAAAGAAGTGATGGCGGAGAAAAACCAAGAGTCTTCAAAGTCAGATCAAGCGGTACATCTGAATCCTGAATTAGGGGTTGGGTCAGATACTTGGACTAAGCTCGACATGGTCTTCGATGTTGGCAGTATTGGATTGGAGCTCTTCGTCTCTGATCCCAATAGTCCCATCGAGGACCTCGAAGCAGCAAGTTTGTCACGAGCATCATTGAACAAAACACATGTTAAATTGAGGATGATCAGCGATGGTTCAATCGAGTCAGAGTTATTGATTGAGTCCTTCAACATTGAGGATAGTCGACGCCAAGAGTCCAACAAATTCCGCAAGTTCATGTCTTCAACCAACAAGGAAGGGTCTCAGTTTATGGCTAGCTTTACGCTCTCCGGTGGAATTGAGAGAAATCTTGTTGCACTCCTCACAATCGATAGCCCTAGGATCATTTTTGCACTTGATTATATATTTGCAGTTCGAGACTATGTGATGTCTGGATTGGAAATAGAGGAAGGTACATTGGCTGAAGCTCTTGAGGAGAGCTCAGGCAGTGAAGAAGATTCGGACGAGAGTAATATGCGGCTCGCGGTTCCATCAGACCGGAAAATACAGTCGATGGAAACCTCAAAGGCAGTAAAAAAGAGCGATAAACCAAGTCCACAAACCCAACAAGGGATCAATATATCCTTTCGTGTTAACATTGTCGACTCGCAGGTTATCCTCATTGCTAACCCGGCGATCGCTAATTCTGAGGCAATAGTTCTCGGCACGAAACAGATCTTGTTATCTCAACAACATGCATTGACGCTTCAGGTTGAAGAAGTTGGGATGTTCCTTTGCAGAATGGACAAATTTGAGACTAGTCGTCTTCGCATTCTTGATGACTTCACCTTAAACTTCTCTATGGACAGTCGGACGCTCAGTCAATTCCAGTCGGTTCAGAGTATCCGCGTCGAGGTTGAGCCGCTGGTCCTCAGGGTATCACTCAGGGATATATTGCTGGCAACCCAGATTTTCAACAAAGCCTCCGAAATGTCTACCCCTAAACAAAGCGCTGAGGCACAAACTTCAGAACCGACAAAGATAAAGCAGTTAAAGGGGTCAGGCAAATCTTTGAAGCGGAGAACACCAAGTGGCAGGGGAGTTTCAACCATGGTCAAAAAGGGAGCAAAGTCATTCACTACCGGTAGGAGCAACATTTCACAAAGAGGAGCATCTGCCGGGGGTGGTTCAACTATTGTCAAAAGAGAAGAATTGACTGCAGAGTTTAACGGTATGAGAGTTATATTGATCGGCGATCAACATGAGCTGCCTCTATTGGATCTAAGTGTGAAGAAATTCACTGCCAGGGTTAGGGATTGGTCGGGAGAGGTAGTACATTCATGTCTGGTTATATATGAATGTCAGCTAATCGTACTACATAGATGGATGCCGATACTAATATAGAGACATTTGTAAACATCTATAATTTCTCAAAATCAGCTTGGGAGCCTCTGGTCGAGCCATGGCAGCTTGGGTTTCATGTGAGTCGCTTTATCCCCTCACAAGAGCCTTGTTACTAAGTTTGTAGATGTCTCGAACGGCAAATCCGGAGAAGTTCTCGATTGACTTGGTTTCACGAAAGACTCTTGAAGTCACTATCACTTCACAGACCATTGCCCTCGCCTCGAAAGCCGCACAATTCATGCAACAGGATGAAGATATGTTGACAAAGCCCCGTGGAGTTGATTCTCCATACCGCATTCGAAACCAGACCGGTTTTACTTTGCATGTTTGGGCTGCATCAGATTCTACTGAAAACCAATCAATGGCAATCAAGCTTGACGACGGAGAACAAGCACCCTGGAGATTCGAAGAATGGGAGAAAATGCGCGAGGTAAGACTTAGCTTCCTATGTGATCTGAGGGAAGACGAGCTAACAAGCACAAAGAATTTAAGTCCTGAAGGATCGAGTGGGATAGTTGGAATTAGAATTGAGAATTCCGGATTTGAGAGCCTTGTTGAAATTCCGGTAAACAAGGAGGGCGAAACATTGTACACACTCCGCCCGGCAAAGGATGGTATTCTTCATCGTCTTCTATGTGAGGTTCACCTTGGAACGGATAACATCAAGCACATCACTTTTAGATCACCATTGGTAGTGGAAAACAATTCACAAATTCCCGTAGAATTGGGAGTGTTGGATGCTGAGGGACAGCATATTGTCAGAGTCTACAAGGTCTTGCCAGGGGAAAGTCAGCCGGCCCCAATCGAGGCAGCATATCACCAATCGTTGGTATTAAGACCAGATGGTGAGTGATGTGGCAACTTGTACCGCGCAATAGCGTGTCACTAACTACAATAAAGCAGGCTTTGGGTATACATGGTCGCAGGATCGCCTAGCTTGGAAAAATCTACTAAAGAAACAAACTCGATGTATTACTTGTAATAGTGAAGAGGGTAATAATGCGCCTCCGTTTTACTTCCAGATGCATGCCAACTTCCAGAAGAACAACCCCATTACCAAGTAAGAAATCTCCACATTATGTTTATACTTTCAATTTGAATACTGATATTTGCTATAGTCTTTATCCTTATATGAAAATTAAACTGTCCGCACCATTGGAGGTCCAGAATTTGCTTCCTTACGATTTCAAATTTAGGATTTATGATAGGAATACAAAGAAGGAATGGACCAACTTCTTGCGCAAAGGAGGATTGAGTCCGGTGCATGTGGTGGAACTCTCTCATTTGCTGCTTATGAACATTGACATGCAGGACACTGTCTACAACGCCAGCGAATTTGCAATCATAAATTCAAACGACTCGGAGTTAGCTAAAGAGGACGATCTTGTGGCAAAGGACAATCAGGGGCTAGAATTGAGGCTAGGACTTCATTACCTTCCGATCCCCGACAGTGGGGGTGCTTTCCGTGTTACTGTCTACAGCCATTATGTTATTCTCAACAAAACAGGTTTGAACATGATGGTCAAGTCAAAATCACTGCTGCAACAAGCGAAAGTAGCCGCGGGGCAAATCCAAACAGGTAACTCACATGGCCCCGATTTTGGATTATATACTCACATAATTAGGTTCCGGTTCTTCTCAAAAAGCAGTGCCATTCTTATTTTCATACCCGAGTGATGAGCGCCAGAACCGAGCTGTTCTCAGGGTTGGAGATTCAAACTGGAGTAGACCCCAAAGTTTCGAGGCTATAGGAAGCGTAACGGATGTGGTTCTTCCATCGATTTCGAAAACAAGTGAAATTCATGTGGGTATCTCGGTGGACGAAGGAGAGGGAAAGTACAACTTAACCAAAGTTGTGACGCTTGCCCCACGATTCATTTTGAGGAGCAAACTTTCTGAAGATCTTCAAATTCGGGAACCCGGTGCCGGATCGACTGAAATAATGACATTAAAACCCGGAGAGTTACTTCCGTTGCATTTTCTGAAGGCTACTCAACAAAAGCAACTTACTTTCCTCTTTCCCGGCATTAACAATAGATGGTCATCGCCTTTCAACATATCTGACTTAGGGTCTACACATGTCAAGATGCATAAGGCGAATCAACGTCAGTCTCTTATCAGGGTTGATATATTACAGGAAAAAGCTACTATTTTCATTCACATCAGTCTAGAGAAGAACAATTGGCCATACTCTATGCGTAATGAGAGTAATCAGGAGTTTACTTTCTTTCAAGCCGACCCTCATCTGGATGATGATGAAGATAGGCCGACCAACTTCCGACCGATACTATACAAGCTGCCGCCCCGAAGTATTATGCCCTATGCATGGGACTTTCCTGCCGCGAGAAATAAGGAGTTAGTACTTGTAGTTCGCAACCACTCCAGACATGTCCGCCTCTCAGAAATCGGGAACCTTATACCGTTCAAGATTGATAGCGATACTGTAGGCGAAGATGGGCGACCATTACGAAAAATAATCGAGATCAATGTCATCGCCGATGGTCCTACTCAGACTCTTGTCCTATCCAACTACAAGGCTTCTAAAAGTTTGTATAAGCCAAAACCAAATGTATCTTCTAGTAGTGTTGCTACTGGTTTTGAAGTCAGAGATGCGGACAACACAGAAACCTTCCAAGCGCAGCTTCGGTTTGCTGGTATTGGAATCTCATTGATCAACAGGCAGCTGAAAGAACTAGCCTACATAACCTTCCGCGACTTAGAACTGAAATTCGGCGAGTCTAAACTACAACAGAGCATCACGTTATTTATCAAATGGATCCAAATTGATAATCAGCTTTATGGGGGAATATTTCCTATCATCATGTATCCTAGTGTGGTGCCTAAGACGGGCAAAGAGATAGATACTCACCCATCCCTTCGATTCGAAGTAACTCGGGTCAAAGATGATTGTAAGTTCATTTAACGCTCTTGAGATAAATTTTAGCTAACAATAGTAAGCATATGGTGTTCTTTACATTAAATTGTTTAATGTTTTGCTGCAACAAATGACGGTTGAAATTGACGAAGACTTCATTTATGCACTGCTAGACTTCTCGAAGATCTCCGGCGCAAGTTGGTCTGAAAGAGAGGAGGGAAAGCTGTGTGACGATGATTTGGAACTCCCAGAGCCCAAGACTGTCAGTGCCGGTCAGGACTACTATTTCGAACAGTTTTGCATTCAACCTATGCAACTTGATTTGTCACTGCTGCGAACCGAGGTTGTCAATGCTGAGGATAAGACAACTTCCCGAAATCCTTTGATGTTTGTACTAAATGTCTTGACAATGGCAATTGGAAATATCAACGACGCACCAGTAAAACTCTCGGCATTGATGTTTCCAAACGCCAGGGTTTCTATGCCAGTTCTACAGCAAAGACTCGCGGCACATTACAGTCAAGAATTCCTCTATCAGATTCACAATATTTTGGGTTCAGCAGACTTCTTGGGAAATCCCGTGGGCCTTTTCAACAACATTAGTTCTGGTGTTATTGACATATTCTATGAACCATACCAGGGATTTATCATGACAGATCGTCCGCAAGAACTAGGTCTCGGAATCGCAAAGGGGGCTACTATGTTTGTGAAGAAGTCGGTATTTGGCGTGTCTGATAGCTTTTCCAAATTTACTGGTAGTATTTCAAAAGGTAAGGGGTTATGCTGAAAAACCTGATATGTGCCAAGCTGATAAGAAATAGGTCTTTCGGCTGCTACTTTCGACAAACAATTTCAGGATCGCAGACGTATTTCTCGTTCACGTAACCGACCAAAGCATGCACTCTATGGTGTCACCCAAGGCGCAAATTCATTCATCACTAGCTTAGCGAGTGGGGTAGGTGGACTGGCACGTAAACCACTTGAAGGGGCGGAGCGCGAAGGAGTTTCCGGATTTTTGAAGGGAATTGGCAAAGGGGTGGCCGGCTTTGCTACTAAACCTGTTATTGGAGTATTCGATCTTGCATCAAGTATAAGATACCTTTTCAGCCTTGAAATCCTCTGCACTTGCTAACTTTACCAACTTCTAGATGTTTCTGAAGGAGTCCGCAACACAACCACAGTATTTGATGCAGATGGCCTAGACCGTGTCCGATTGACTAGATATATTGGCCAGGACGGCGTTGTTCGGCCTTATTCTCAGCGAGAGGCTCTTGGCCAATTTTGGCTGAAGAATTTGGATACCGGGAAATATTTCAACGAGGAGTACATTGCACACCTGGAGCTCCCGGAACAGGACGTTGTCGTGATATTGACGTATACGTAAGTGCCAAATACATGAATTGCAGGAAATACATTTTAACGCAGTAATTTAGCCGCATAATGCTTGTCAAGTCGAAAAAGCTATATACCGAGTGGGACGTCCAACTCAAGGATTTGCAGACTATCAGCATGGAAAGAACGGGAATAGTTCTCATATTGCGTGGAAATCGACAGGGTCCATTTATTCCAACAAAGGACGAATCTTCGCGGAAATTCCTATTTAAGAAAATTGGGCTTGCAGTAAATTCATTTAACAGTACTGCAGCTCTTTCTTAGAGATTAGGGGGGTAGTTTTAAAGTTAGGCGTTAACGGGTGGATAATTTCCTTTATTGTAAATTTAGCCTAGTAAGATTTCCTTTGTAGATTATTTCAGGGTGTTAGTAGTGTATTCAAATTATATGTCTTGGGCGGTGAGAATGAACATCGTCACTAAAATCATTTGTACTCCGTTTAATCTAGTCACAGCTGGAAAAAGAGTACAAAAACTCGTGGACAGCCTATTATCTAAATAATTACATTATAAGAAACGAAGATGAAGTACTATTGAGGGCAATCGTGAAAATAAATGGAAGATCAATAAACAAAATATGATTGGTTTAAGCATAATCAAGAAAAACGAAAGTATCAATAGAAGGTTCATCATACATAAGATAGTATAGTATATCGAACCAGGGGTCCAGTCGAAAGGAATCTCCAAACGTAAATCAAGTACTACTACAACCCCTTTTACTCTCCCTTTGCAAAAATTACCTCTTCTACGGGTATCAATTAGTCCTTACCATAATATATCCAAACGCTGTCCCTCCCCGCGGAACAATGGCCTGCAAAACAATGTGCAAAACATTATTTAGTGAAATTTGCCCTATCATTATTCATGAATTAGGAAGTCATGGATAGGCTCAATATGGTTATCATGATATGCTCGCTTTTGCAGAGGAGACTGTGCCACGCCGTGATATTGCTTCCTGCTTCATGGCACGGATTTGTTGTTCCAAATGTCGCCTATGTTCTTGCTCGGCCTATGTTACAGAAGGAATATTAGTGAGGAACGGGGTTTCCAGCTAAATGTGGAGATATATTCACCCGTAACGTCTTCATAGACTCGGACCGCATATCACGCATCATCTTTTTGAACTCCGTCTTGAGAACATGTGTGCTAGTGCTTTCACCATCGCCATAACGCCCTGTACCGAGCTTTCCATCAGCACTAGGAGTGCGCATTCCTAACCACCGGACTCTCTCGTCCGCCAAACTGGTTTCTAAGGTTTCGCACCGGTCGCGCAGACCATCAATGACCCCTTCTAATTTGATACGATCATTTTCGTTCTCGATAGACTGTTTAGTCAAGTTTTCAAAATCGGCAAGCATTCCATCGAGTTCCGCTTGAAGCACTTTACATCTCTTTTCGAGGTCTGCGTTTCCGGAGGACTTCGTAGCCTTGAGAAGTGCAAGCTCTTCCATCAATTCATAGTTCTTAGTTGCAAGGGCTTCTACCTCCTGGAGCAGACCTGGGTCAACCGTCTGCGGCCCCTTATTTGCGGCTTCGAGCGCAGCGGCAGCAGCACGAGCTTGGGCAGTTTCTGCAGCGCGCTGGGACTTAGAGCCATATGCAGAATCAAGCTCTGCCTTCAGCATAGCAACCTCTGTTGATAGCTCTGCTACCTTCCCTTCCAAACCTCGCATTTCCTCATCCATTCTCGACATTTGGGATTTATTAACCTCAAGCTCGGACTGTGCGCTTTTTCCTGCTTCTTCTGCGGCGGATTTCGCTACAACAAGAGCGGCAAGTTCAGTTTCAAGTTTCTTCAGGCGGTCGTTAGACTCGGACGTAAGTGCATCTAGCTCTACTTTCATGATATCACGATCCTCCCGCGCCTCTTCTAATTCACCTTGAAGAGCCATTAGAAGCTCTTCTTTGTCCTTAAGCTGTGCGCACAATGCCTCCTCTGCTTCAAACCGTGCCCGCCGTTCTTCTTCAAGGTCACTTTGTCCATGGCCCGAACTATCTTCTGATTGTCGGTGGGCTTCTAGGCGTCGATGTTCCAACTGTATCATAATGACTGTTAGTTCCTCTCGAGAAATCCTAGCTTCGCTTCATCTCTGTCTTACCTCTGACCGGATTATAGCCAGTTCGTCCGAAAGAGCTTTCGATTTTGTTTCGACTACCATAATTTCCTTTTCACGTTGCTCAACAATATTAGACATTGCATCAAGTTGGCTACTGAGAGTAGAAAGTTCGTGACTAAGATTATCCTCGCGGGAAGAATGCTTCTCCTTCAATGCGGCCGATTCTGCCTTAAAGCTGGAGCGCTGTTGTGAATTTTGTTGCCGGAGCATGGTCCGTTCTTCCCGCAACGTGGTCGCACGGGTGTAAAGTGCCTGGACCTTTGCGGAGAAAGTGGATATACTATATTCGGCATGCTGGTCTTCATCCTCATCTTCGCTGTCGGGATATTCGAGTTCGTTATTTTGACCCTTTTGTCTAAGTGCACGTTTCTGCGAACGCACTTCTTCCTCGCCGAGTATAAGCATGTCCCAGAGGGTGGAGAGAATTGTGTCGGTCCTTTCAAGCTCCTGTGCAGCGAAGTTGGAACCCGGGGATGTCGGTGATGGGGCAGGATGTTGTTGAATAAAATTTATACTTTGTTCAAGTTGTGTAAGTTGCTCTTGTAGACTACTGCCCCCACCCATAGAGCCGTTGGGCTGAAGATGTTGGGGTAAAGGGATACCTTGGGCGCTCGTCAACTGGAGTACGATATTCCTAACTTGGATATTGAGGTCTTCTAACCGGCGACCCAGGTACGGGTCATCTATAGTGGCGGAACCTCGTCGCGAGGCCCCACCAGTATCAAGCTGGGGGAATTTTGTATAAGAGCTCCGTCTATCATAACCTCCGAAATCATCAAGCTTGTCCGGCGTTCTGTAGAAAGAGCGGTCATCAAACTCCACCGTGAGAGATGAATTTGTTACATTCCGGTTCACCAGGGTGTACTGGCTTGATGGCGAGCCTGGGGGTATCGAACTGCTGGGATAAGCCCTTTGCTGGATTGAGCTCTGATGGGTCATCCCGAGTATTCCTGCGCTGTGCTGTAGCAACCTGCGCTGAATCTCCACGGCCCGATTACTGAGCCTCCAGAGCTCCTGAGACAGGTCCTCACACTTGCGATTGCTCGCAGTAAGCTCCTCATCGGTATGCTTTGTAACGTCACTTACACCGCCTAATAGAGATCTCCTTCCGCGAGCCTTCTTATTGGAGTACAACCTGCTAAGGGAAAGCGCTGCGTCGCGAACTTTAGATTCCAGGGCGAGTTTACGCTTAGACGCGTCGATGCGATTTGTAAGGAAGTTGTGTTCCTTCTTAAGCTCATCGACTTCTTCAAAAGAGAGGATTTCGTACACATTGGAATCGACAATGGCGGTTTCAACGAGAAGGTGCATAGCCATGGGATCATTGACATTTAAGAGTGCGGAGGAGCGTGGGCGGGATTTGTTTAACTATATTATTGAAAGGCAGACGTTACGAAAGCCTTGCTATTAGTCCTGAGATTTATCTATGGTATAAGAACTAGATTGCAGTAGAATAGAACATCAAGTCGCCCAACCCACCCCTTCACCCCCCCCCCCCCCCCAAATCATCTAAAGTACGCCAAGGGGTACGGCAAAGAAGGTAAAAAAAACACACAAAAAAAAAACGGTGAATCCTCACAGCATTGAATCTAGGATGAGACTCCTCTGACGGTGACGAGAAGTGCTTCTCAAGAATATGAGATGGCGGACAGCTGTTTGTGCCCGCCGCGACATACCTCGGCGACCCATTTCGCAGTTCGGGATCGTAGGAGGAAGGATATAGCGGCTTTGTCGAGCCCATGACTTTTAACATACTCTAAGGAGGCAGCGATGAATATAGGCGGATTGGTCTATTGTCGGCAGTCCCCTCGGAGGTGTAGAATGGTTGAAGGTGTTTCGTAAATTCACATTCAGGTACAGCGCGCGACGGTGGGCCCCACTCGGAACAAGGAGAGACAATAGAGAGGTTGACAGGAGCTGTGGGAGTTAGTTGACCCTGTATCGGGGGGCACGAGTGGCGTGAGTGGTTGAGAGTTGCTTCCTGCTGCTTCTTGTCGACAGTACCTACTGTCTGCGTATGGATAGAGAGCAGGGCGTAAGAGTACGGAGTCGGAACAGATCTGGAAGTCTTCTGGCGACAGGGGAAGAGAGATGGGCGGAGAGTTTAGAGCGATCTGGGTGCCCCAGGAATAGGAAACTAGTAAACTTGCAAGCTGAACCAAACCACATTTGTGGTGGTGGAGGAGTTGACAACTGTAGGAGGAGGAGCAGCAGGGGTTGGATCGTCTTGGCAGTGCTCTCAGTAGCAGTCAGTCCTCTGAGTTATGCAAATGGTAAGTATTACTCTGACTCGCTCAAAACTTAACTCAACCCCCACAAGCAATTATGGATCTAAGCAAACGTTGTGCATCGCAGTCTCACAACCAGTATTGTTCTTTTACTAGAGTAGAGTGTTTCTGCTCGTTTGTGAGGGTGGTGAGAGAAGAGGGGAAGCGATAATATGATGAGTAAGACCACCTATAGTACCTGAGACACTGGTGTTATGGATGGAGAAGATGATGTTGGATAGCTGTGCAAGCATGCCAGCTTTGCAATCGTCTAGAAACGTTTGTTTATGTGACCTTAAAAATGCATCATACAGGTACACACTACACACCATGCACTCCTGGCTCCAATGTATGGCATGATAGGGGCATGCCATTCATCCCGTTCTTCAACCAGTTCCACCAGGAATGGTTTAGCACACATACTCTAAGAGGTAGGGACTATCACGACGAGAACGGGAATCGTAGGGTAGGAAAATAATGCCTAGCGCCGTTCCGAGATATCCGAGCCGGCCGTTAAATGAAACGAGATTCTTGGCAAACTCTTTCTAGAACCGAGTGATAGGTTGTGTCTTCGTGCATCAATGCAATATCACCCCTTTGGATCTTGAAATATAATCACTCGCGGAATGTAAAATCCTCTAACAACTGAATTCGATGGAATGTAAATCTACGTGTATATATACGTATACCCAATCAACATCAAAAGTCATTCTTGTAGCTAGATGAATAAGCGAAACAGGAGAGAAGGGGAAATCCACTCACAATAGTACATGTATATACATGTATTTACTAGACGTACGTGTCTGTATATGTGGGGATAAACAATTGTCTTTTCATCTTCTCTCATACCCCTTTAAACCGTTAAAACGTGAGAAAACCCTAGCTTCGAACGCGGACCTATATATCGACCGTGAGATATACGTATAACGAATGTCCCTACGACCAGCTCGTTGTCTCAACCGGCCTCTAAATAGGCTAAGTCGAGCCGAGTGAGAGCAAAAAATAACACGGGATATAGTGATATACACCATTTTATTTGGGCCACGGAAAGACTCTCTCTGATAGTTAAGTACACCCCGCTCTAGAGGCCGGAAAGCTAGGCTTTGAATATGGCAGGTTGACCAATTCACAAATGGTTGTATATAAAGCTCGGGCAAGACCTTTTATCTCATAGATATTAGATAAACATGATGGGCAGGTTGACCAATTCATGAGTGTGGTAGGACCAGACTGGGGTAATCGCAGCTGTCGGAGACAGAGGGGTCGCCTGTAGAATTGTTGGGATCACCAGTAATTCATTGATTCTAGTTCGGTACTTCACGGACTTGCTTCATAGGGTCTGACTTGGTACTTCCTACAGCCTTATTTGGCACTAATCATGGAATATGATTCGATTAGAAGGTATCCAAACAACAGGAACATTCGGGGCTTGGCAGACTTACTGGCACCTAGTGGTCTCTAGTGTGAGATTTTCCATGAACGCATTCAGTTGGTGCCATATGCGGTTAGTAGCTAGCATTACAACGCTGACGGGTTCCTTGGCATACTATCGAGTGACTTTTCATGATCCTTCGAAAAAACTACAGTAACCGAGGGGCTATTGGTTGTGGCCAACCATGTTCCAAGTCTTGGGCTGCATTGCCATAGACTAAGGTCTGCATGCAATTAATGAATTAAACAAAAAAAAAAAAAAAGTCTTGGGCTGCAGTTTTATAATGCGTAATGTGATCCGCCCCCCAGTTGGGAGAGCGCGATGTATAAACTAACTCCCGTCTCGGTGAAACTGCCTTTTGATCATCGAGAACTAGAAGTATTTGGCGTCCGATAAAAACGTACGGAGCGGTAAATGTGTTAAAAGTGATTTTACCAACGGTTGATAGGTTATTTACCACCGGTGGTATAAGTACTGAATTTCAGTCCTTGTGCCAGTATAAACACTGAATTTCAATCTTTATGCTGCGCTATACTTCATTAGTAGATGTTCAATCATTAATGCCAACACTTATGAAAGTTTCCCACCAGTGGTGAAATACCTGCCACTGGTGGTAAAATACCTGTCACCAATGGTGAAATTCCCCACCGGCGGACAATAGGACTCATAAATTGGTATTATATAGCCCCTTTTGGCCAAAAGGTCTGTGCTTTTATCCATTATAAGGTATAAATGATGGCATTATTTTCACCACCGGTGGTAAAACGATTTACTACCGTTGGTAAAATTACTTTTGACACATTTACCGCTCCATAGATATTGACCCGTATTGTTTCGCACTGATGTTCGCTGCGGTCGGCAAGCCTCTAGCTCAAAAAGCTTAGAACAGAGTTTTGGCAGGAAGAATTACATGATAACGGAATTACACCGTTTCGTTTTTTTTTTGGTAGTTCTGTAAATTTACAAGAAATAGTGTTCGGCCAACCAATTTCGAGACTCCATTAGGGCGTTGAAACAGAGATTTTGAAAAGTAGGTAGGCAAAACCCCACCACAATACAATACTGTTCGGCAGGCCCAAACCCCGTTTTCAAAGTCTGCGTTTGCATTCGCCTAACGGAGCCGTACTTGCATAACAGAGTTTCATAACCGAACGGGTCCTTATATATCAAGCATACATGTATATAGGAAACCTTCTCTATACCATACTTTAATATCGATGAGGTTAGCTTGTACTATGGTTGGTTGGTAGAGACATAATAGGTGTTCTTGGTGCGGTGTGGTCTGGATAGTTCAAATATATATAACTCCAATCGAAATGGTCAAAGTTGAAACCGCTACATTCCCGTGGCTAAGGTCCGGAGGAAACACATTAGAGGGATCTAATGGGTGTAAAGGTGGAGGTAAAGGTGTAGGAAAGGTCGTTATTACCTCTACAAGTTTACCTCTCCCGCCGACTTTGTATTAGAGATCTAACACATAATGTTTATATGTAAGGTCTAGAAATCAATTGGGGTTTAGCTATATCTCGAAGTTTCCTAGGAACTCCTGGATACAACCACAAATATAAGGCCAATCTATCGCATTTTCTGCCTAAGCACACACTAATGCATGTATTATAATGAATTAAACAAAAAAAAATGCATGCATTATATGCTTTTTCTCCGCTCGAGTGATAGATGGTGACCAAATATATCAATAAACATTATCTCCTCCTCGTATGACCTGACACCACTGCGATAGATTTTTTTTAAAGATGAATACCTTTATTTCCTTACTGCCCCGAGTCAAGAATCTGCAACTTCAACTTCTATAGGCCTTATAGGCCTATTTTTGTTTAATCCTCCCAGAAGTGCGCACGCTTGACAAAGATCCGAAGATGTTAAATACCCACATTTCTTGCAGTTTGACATCTTCTGATCTCGAACCTTTTTCGGTGTCTGCTGCTTCCCTTTGTTTTTTTGCTTAGTAGGTAAAGTAATCTTAGTTTCGAGCCTCTTTGTCTTTGCTGTTGCGATCAATTCGTTCTCCATATCTAACATCTCACCACCGGAAGCACGCCCCCCGCCTCCGTTTCCGCAACCCCCTCCACTATCAGTCTCCCCAGAAATATCCGCACTACTGCCATATCCGCTCCTTTGAATTGACTCCGGCACCATGCCAGCGAAGGCCTCACCAGAACGGACAATATCGAGGATGGCCGAGGGCCGTACACGTTCCAAGGACTTGATTAAAGAGCGTGCGCTACCTCTGAATGCCTCGGGAGAATATATGCATTCAGTTGTGAAGTAGTCAAGCTGTTTATGGTGAGCGTATAGAACAATTTCCTTTTCATACGCATATTTTAAGGGTTTACTCCGAGCTATCGGCGAGGAAGAGGATTCTGTTACGATCGATGTGCATCTATGTAAGCGGGGAAGATCTCCTCTAAGGACTGGTATACTTTAGTATAACACTCATGTTAAAATTCTGACACGAGACCTAGGTTACTCACGGTTCATCAATACTGTCTCGGCAATGTCGTCCGCATTATGACCAGTGACCACATGTGTGATTCCTAGTTTTTCTGCCCCCCGATCTAAGGCCTGTCTCCGAAAAACACCACAGTACGTACAGTTTCCCTTCTTTCCAATCTGCGCGACAACTTGATCCATACTCCACCCGTACAGCTCGGCATAAGATACTATGCAAAGTTCCATTTCATACTGCACTGCGTTGCGCTTTACTGTTTCGAGAGAGTCATCTCGATAGCCTTTGATCCCCTCATCGATTGAAAGCAATACAAAAGTGACTCCATAGTCGTAACGTTCGTTGAGGGTTTTAAGGACGGAAGCTAGGACGGTCGAATCTTTGCCACCAGAGGCGCCAATGGCCACACGGTCACCGCGGCGAAAAAGAGAGGTGGCGGTGATAGTTGAGTGTATTTCTTCTTCAAAAACAGCCAGGAAACATGATTTGCAGAGACGCTCGTGGGTTTTAGGACGGAGAATGAGGGCACGAGCGACTGTGCAGCGCGCACACAAGCGAGCGACTTGAGTGGGTCGTGAAGAAGAGATAGATGAAGACATGTCTAGGTTACTGAACCTAACGTTTTATGAGGATTGTATAGGTGTAGGTGTAGCGTCGTGAGCAACGGAAAGTTGGGGCTTATTATACTGGTGGGGCAAGCTTTATTTTTATAAGCCGGGTAAGACTCACGGTGGCGCCTTACTCACATGCATGGTATGTGGGCACCGTTGCGCCGTAGCAGCGGTAGACTCAGGTAGTAGTACATGCCCTCATGTGCGGGCCAGGCGGCGCGCCCTTATACCAACTACATGTACATGTATCTATGCCCGACGGGCATAGATAAATACATGTAAACGAGTAATTTTCAACACGTTTGGCCTCATGTTGCCGGCGAACGGGCCCTATAACCTAAGACATCTTGAGTATTGTGCGTACCTGCACAGCATGCAGTACTTAACTAGAGTATACATGTAGAGTACATGTAGCTGTATGTAGGTGGGATAGGTGCCCTTGGTACCGTAATGGTTTTTTTATTACGTGCTCGCTTATCAAGTATGTGTTTGCCTAACTAGCAAAACACACTAAAAATCGAGGTTTTCAGCAACTCATAAAAAGTCCTATAGTTGTACCAAAGCTGCAACGATCAGGTATAGTATAATTTCGGTAAAGGGGATTCACGCCTCAAATTCTGGGCCTAATTGGTATACTGGTAAAGGTGGAGAGGAAATCAATAAAAGAACCTTTAGGTGCCTTTTGCCTACAGGGCTTTATGGATATGGCTTAAAAACTGGCCTGTAGAGTCTTTCAGGTGTCTAGATAAAGAGTACATACTTTCAGGTGAGTTGGGAAAGTTCTCGGGATTCTATGTGTTTTGCTGGTTGCGCAAATACATACTTGAAATGCGAGTACAGGTATGTATTTACCTACATATTAATCCAATCCAGTAGGACTTCTTACCTCATACACTACACGGCGCCGGGCCGGACACATTCTCGGCTGCACTGCATGTACCCAAACCACCACTGATTACTGATTTGAGGATCAAGTAAGCCATGAATTGAGAAATCGAATATGGTAATTTTTGGGTTGTACCTAGTTACTCGCTATAAGGATATTGCGTTGTTAATAGTTATATGTAGCGCTGAATTCTGAATTTTTGAATTTTATAGTAATAATTTACTATAAGGATACAAATTTCGCTCTGGATCGTATCGTTACTTGTTTACATGTAGTATACGTCATGTATTTACCTACATGTACGTACAGGTATATGCGCTCGAGGACTACATTGTACTCTCTATATACATACTACGTAAATTATAACGCTGAGCACACGTATCTCAACGACGCCTACCTGTAGTTGAATGGAGGCCTGTGCTTGTGCATAAAATCTATCCTTCATACACATTCAACAGAACGCATTAGAAAGATTTCATTAAACGAAGTCGAGTATGGGTGATCTTTTCGATGAGGTTATGGGTGTCTTAAATGATGTGGATAGCGCTTCTGGCCCGCAAAATTGGATACCGGACAGCGAACAATTATTATCAGAGTTCCATAGGGGCTCCAGCCTGAAATCCACGTTAAGTGCACCACCTCTAAAGAGAAACCAGAAACAAGAGTTGCAAGAATTCGATGATTTTGGTATTTATTCTATCGAAAAATTCAGATGGTTATCATATCCACTAATAACTTCGTCAATTGTAAAAGATCGCCAAGTTATGAACGAGCCCAACGTTAGAAACCGTGATGGCTGGGATTTTGGGAATCTTAATAGAGACTTAGTATCGTTGTTTCCTCCGCATCCTCAGGACTCGGTTTTATACTCTAGTCCAAGACTACCTACAATACCATTGAGGGAATACCGGTCTCGAATTTATACGGTTCAAGGAGAGAATGCGGATTCACACCAGCGAATATCACATCCCTCAGTGCCTGTGTCAAGAAGAAAACTGGACCTGTGTAAGATTCATCTTCATATTTGCATCCCAGAGGTTTAACAATAACCATTTTAATAGCGAAATTTGAGTTTAACCCGCGCACACCAAAACACGCCAACAGACCCACCAGCTCGTCATCTTTGGCATCAAGTCCCATTCCATTCAATCTCAAACATCCTTATAAACCTCTGGTTGAAAGGAAAAAGGGAGGTAGAGCCGAAAAGAATAATTCTGAATGGACAATAACCCAGAGGAGTCAACAAAGAGCGACTATAGCCTCAGAAAATACAACCGAGCATAAAACACCAATTGTTCAAGGGATACCCTTAGTTTCTGTGAACTCGATCCCAGATCGGTTCCGCGGAGTATTTCCATTCCCCTTATTCAATGCTGTCCAGTCTAGATGTCTCCATTCGGTCTATAGTACGAATGATAATATTGTTATTTCATCTCCCACAGGTTCGGGAAAGACAGCAGTCATGGAGTTAGCTATTTGTGCGCTGGTGAACGAATTGAATCAGGGAAGTTATAAGGTTGTCTATCAAGCCCCGACAAAAGCGCTTTGTGCTGAGAGGAAGAAAGGTAAACGTCAGCTCTCCTTCTTATAGGATTTGGCTAATAAAACATATAGATTGGGATGGAAAGTTTAGGACGCTTGGGTTGACCTGTACAGAATTGACAGGTGATACACAACAAGCACAATTGAGGAATGTGAAAGAAGGGGACATAATTATCACCACACCTGAAAAATGGGACAGCATGACCAGAAGGTGGGATGACCACAAAAAGTTGTTAGAGCTAGTGCGACTGTTTCTGGTATCCAAACCCTGCTAGAACCTACAGTCTCATCTACTGAGTATTGATGATATTAGATCGACGAGGTACATATTCTGAAAGAATCACGGGGTGCCACTCTAGAGGTTGTCGTGTCAAGGTATCTTCTATCTATTCACATCAAACGTAGATTCTGACAATATTAGAATGAAATCTATCGGCACAAATGTAAGATTTGTGGCGCTAAGTGCCACGGTACCCAACTCAGAAGACATCGCAATCTGGCTAGGGAAGAACTCTGTGTGTTCAAGTTCTCCTGCCTGCGAAATGCGGTTTGGGGAGGAGTTTCGTCCTGTACAGCTACAAAAGTTCGTATATGGGTACCAGTCGACTGGGAATGACTTTATGTTTGATAAAACATTAGATAAGATGTGAGTTATGAATTTGGTTGTAATACCCACAGAACAAATGTGACTCAGACGTGCAAAGGCTTCCAGATATAATCAAGAAGCATTCCTCAGGAAAGCCCATTATGATTTTCTGCATGACCCGGGCTATGTGTGTCAGTACGGCCAAAATGTTGGCAGAAAAATGGAAAATGCTTCAACCACATGAACGTTACTGGCCTGCTCCAAACATTGGGTTCTCATTCAAAGACAAGGAACTACATACCACTGGGGCCTGTGGCGTCGCTTTCCATCATGCTGGCCTAGACGTCAATGATAGGACTTTAATAGAGAGATTATTCCTAGAGGGTTGTCTTCAAGTGATCTGTTGCACGTCAACCTTGGCCGTCGGAGTGAATCTCCCGGCATATCTAGTGATTATCAAAAATACAGTGACTTGGGCCGACGGGCAAACAAAAGATTACGCCGATTTAGAAGTTATGCAGATGGTTGGAAGGGCAGGCAGGCCACAATTTGACGATAGCGCAGTTGCGGTGATCATGACAAAGAGAGAGGACAAGATGAAGTACGAGAAAATGGTTTCGGGAACCGAACCACTCGAAAGCTGTTTAAACGGAAATTTGGTGGAACATATGAATGCTGAAGTAGGCCTTGGAACAATAACCAACGTCGAGTCCGCAAAAACATGGCTCCGATCAACTTTTCTATACGTCCGGCTCAAGCGTAATCCTGCGTATTATAAATTTGATCAACACGGAGGGCCCGAAGACGCGGATCGAGGCTTAGAGGAGATATGTGAGAAGAATATAGATCTTTTACATCAAGCTGGACTCTTATTAAAGCATGAAGCGAGATTAAAATGTTCAGAGCTTGGTGATGCAATGGCTCGATACTACATCAAGTTTGTTACAATGCAAACAATTTTAGAGTTGGAAAAGAAAGTAGGCCTATCTGAGGTGGTATGTAGAGTTTCGGTTCGGAGGTTTTTTGATCTTGCTGATTTCTTATAGCTATTGGTACTTTCACGAGCTCAAGAGTTCAGAGATATCCGTTTTCGCAGCGGGGAGAAAGGGTTATTTAAGGAGTTAAATAAATTAGTAAAGTATCCTCTGAACGGAGAACTAACCAATGCGTCTCACAAAGCATACATTTTGATTCAGGTATGACCTCAAGCGCTAGGATTATCCTATTCAAATATATTCTAATTCTTGAGTGAAAGTTCGAGATCGGAATGATGGAGTTCCCGGTCGAAGCAAACTTTCAAAAATTCAAAGCCACTCTGATGCAGGATAAAATCTTAATTTTCCAACACTGTCACAGAGTGATACGCTGCATTATTGACTGTAAACTACATTTTAAGGACTCAGTATCTGTTAGATCCGCTTTGGAGGTGGCTAGGTCTCTCAAAGCAAGAGTCTGGGAGAATTCTCCACTCCAGCTTCGTCAAATTGAAGGATTTGGGCCAGCATCTGTAAAGAAACTTGTGAATGCTGGTATACGCAGCTTAGGAATGCTTGAGATGCTTGAAGCTCATAAGATCGAGACTATTTTGTCTCGAAACCCGCCTTTTGGTTCTAAAATTATAAGGGCTGTACGGGATATCCCCAAGTTACAAGTTGTCTCTCGTCAAGTCTCTAAGGTGCGTATAGACAAGAAATAAGTAATGGTAAACCTCTTACTCAGAGTTTCTAGACAGGGAATGGCAAAGATTCTGTCAAGCTAAAGGTGCGAGCTGAGATTGGATATCTGAACGATAAGATCCCTGGAAAGTACCGTGGGATGATTTTATTCGCGAATTTCCTTGCAGAAAGATCTGATGGTTTATTGATCGATTTCAGAAGAATACCGTAAGACAATAATTGCCATTCTGATCCATAGCTTACTAAATAAACTTGTAAATGCGTAGAATTGGTAAGCTGGAAGGTGGGAAGGATATTCAGTTTATGGTCGAGCTCGAGCACAAAGAGCAAACGGTTATATGTTACTTGGTGTGCGAAGATATAGGTAAATATTTAATCCACTTACTGCTCTTCGATACTAATATTCTTAGTCGGCACTTTGAAATTCCATGAGCTCAAACCGGATGTTGAAAGCGCTTTGTACCCTGGTGGGAGATGTCCAGCGTTACCATCACCGCCACCAAATATAAAGAGAACAGACATGAGCAGATTCATTACCGCCCGAGAACTATGTAAAACTTCAAATGTAGGCTGCTTAGGAGCGAATACACCTGCTTCAACAGATATAGGCCAGCCTACGAGGACTACCGGGAACTTAGCAGTATCTGAAGAGAAGGATTCGTTTTTCTTGAATATAGATGATTTTGATATGTCTGATTTCGACGACGGTGCTTCGCAGGAGGCTAAGGAGAACACAGATACAAATAACGTTCGAACTAAAGCCGAGATTGACCTCGATGGTCTAGAAAGTAGTGGGCTGGAAACAAATGAGCAGCTTCCAAATGGCAATTACGTTTGCAGACATAGGTGTGGGGATAAAAAGAAGTATTCACCTGACTAAATAACTAAACCTAAATAAACAGAAAGCTAATAGATTAAAAGATGCAAACACTTTTGTTGCCGCGATGGGCTGGAGAAGCCACCGAAGCCGTTAAAGCGAAAGAAAAGTAAACCTGATGCAAAAGCCTTGCAAGTGCCGGTCCCAAGGAAAATCCATCAGCAGGAAATTCATTCCTCAAAACCTAAACAAAAACCTCGAATGTTGGCTATTGTTACCCACATGAAAAACGTGGACATTGAAGTACTGGACCTTGTTGGTGACGAGAGCAGCACTTACGAGCGAATGGGTGCAACTAGCGATTTGGAGAAACTCAAAAAGCTTCATTCCACCAGTACCCTCACTACTCATAGATCCTTGACCAGCAAGCCAGTTTTCTCTTACTCAAACAATGGTGTAGCTAAGCCTCCTTTCTCTGGTATCGAGCAACCTAGCTTGACGAACTATAAAAGGGTGCTTTCTCCTGCCAAAGAATCTGGACCAATACGGAGTGGGAGTTTTTACCTTCTACAAGAACCTTCGACAGCTCATGTTAATGGATCAGAAGGAGAAGAACAAGGAGGTGATATGCCGCCGATCGCACCAACAACGGGGGCTGGCGGGGCATGCACTACGCCTGAACCATCTGATTATCTAAAAAGAAACGTCTCCTCTAACCATAAGATGCTTTTCTCGAAAGATTTAGATAATGGGAAGAAAAATACTTGTCTTAGAAGGAAATCTCAACTGGAAAACGGATTAACGAAAAATGGGGAGATGGAGTCATATATCGATAGTTCAACAGATAACTGCCCTCCAAGCAGTAGTTCTACCATGTGTGAAGAGCTTAGGATGGAAGATACTGCATATAATAAAATAGGTTGGTTCATGTGAATCTTTGTAATTGTTGAGAGGCTGACAGCGGTTTTTTTTAAGTGCCACCGGATCATGACCAACAAATATCTACTGACACTGATGTCAGGATGTCATTTAGTGAGTATCGCTGGAAGACGAATGAATTGCCTTCTTTGATTAGAAAAAGAGGAGATACATTCGGTTTCCCGTTGAAAAATCAAATTAAGAGACGCTTAGTAAGTCTAGACGGGCCAAGCGACTTTGATCCAACATCATTGAAAGCGAATGAAATGGAAAGTACAAGAAAAAGAACGGAAACGGAAGATTTACATGCGGGAGAAGGATTAGGCAAAATAAGCTGTACAGATGTTCTCGATTTCCTCGGGGAGTGTGTTATCTACTCGAAATAAGTTCGGTCAAGGAGCCGAGTGCATAGGAAAACCTCAAGAAGAAATTTGATGGTAGGAGGAGTAGTTTTTTCTTCTTTTCGCTAAATACCTTATTAGTGGAAAAGGATAGCCATATAATAAGTACAGAGGTCTAGCTAGGTTGCTTTTTCCGATGTTGAAGCTCTTCATACAGATTAAACCTGGGCAAATTTCTAGAAGTTCTAGACACGAATCAATTAACTCACTTCCTACGCGAAGAATTTTAGAGGGCAAATAATTTTATTTATTTATTTCTATATCCATTTAATTTATTATTACCTACACGAGAGAAAAGGTCTGGGCAGCGTATAAAGCAAGAAATGTGTTAAACTGGAAAGATCAGAGGAAACATATCAATTGATGGGTGGTTCATTCTCATTGTCATCTGCGAGTGATAGTTCATGAAGGAGGCCTGGAACATGGCCATCTCGAGGAAATACAAAGAATCGAACAACTCAACCAAAGGTAGTTGAGTGGAGAAGCAGTGCATCCAAATCTTAGACAGACTGGATAGACTGCGAAGTGTATAAGATCCAAAAGTAGTTCCGTGATGTGTATATCTGGGGTAACAGCTACAGCCGCTCTTCAAAGGTATTCGTGATAGTGAACTCGCGTTGATTAGTAATCGTGCCACATCAAAACTGAAGCCGTTTGCGTTTGATCAATTGAAGGCTGCGCTGCACTATTCGAGATGGCTCCTCACAGGCCAACGAAATCCCCCAACCCGGCGGAGGTTCAACTTTTATCTTTAAATCTAGCCAGATTAAAGCTAGAGAAAAGCCGGACCAAGAACCCTAAAGCCAAAACAGGAAGGAGGCAGATGACAGGCATCGAGAAGGGCATGATTATTGCCTTCTTCTTCTGTTTTGACTGCATATACAAGGTAGCAAAGATTGTAGGCCGGTTACTACGTATTTCAATAACAATATAAATAAATTTTATATTGATGTTGTGGGGTGAATTGTAAAGTTAGCAGCAGATTATACGTAAGTACATGTAGTGTGTGTGGCTGAGAATGAAGAATGAAGCTAGTCCAGATTAGTAGTGTAACGTAGCATGTTCTAACGGGGCGGGTGCGGGACAAGTTCGGCTCGGGATACGAACGAACTGAGAGGGGTCCGGAGTACGGCAGAGTATAGTCAAGGCGGTAATATTATTTTAGCAAGTACAGGAGTGAAAGAGAATTGAATTGAATTTTATATTGCTTAGAAGCCGAAAGGCTTATCGCACACCTACAACTACGACGGCAATAAAGAAAGAGAAAGGAAAGCGAGAATGTAACTAACGAGAGATACGATACAAAATGGAGCGAACATGAAGGAACGCAAGACAAAAAAGGGAACAGGTAAGCAGAATCAAACAGACAAAGTAGAAAACCTTCCCATAGTCAATAGAAACCAAACTCTTCTCCCAATTACAAACTTGTCCAAATCATGCGTTGCTAAGTGACTTGCCCCACTTAACATGTTCATCAGCAAGCTAGCATCCACCTCCGGGGAATTGTTACTTTCTCCAGAGATTGATGCCAAGACAACTAGTCTCCCTACTCCTCCTATGTCTCCTCACCACCTCACCTAATCCGTTGAGCCTCCGGAGTAATCTGACAGTCTCTGGAGAACTCTCCGCCTCAATTTCTTCTCTTGAGTCTCTCCCGCTTCCTCTTTAACCAGGCTTTTCGAGCCTTCTAAAAGGCTTCCTAAATATTTCAGTAGGCTTCTCGGGCTTCTCACAACCCTCCTCAGCCACTCGACACCCTTAGTGTAAGGGGGACAGTCTTTCCACATATCGCGAGAATACGATAGAAAGATTTGGCCATGCAAGATAGAAATCAGGTTTGGATTATGCAAAAATTTATCGCTAGAAGTCAATAATCTTGAAGGGCTCTGCTACCGAGTAAATTACTTGATAACTTTCTGAAGACTGGAGAAAATCCGAGTATTAGGGCAGAAAGAATCCTGAGTACTTATAGTCCTGTAACGGAGCCATTTCAACTGTCTGGTGTATGAGTACACACAGGGCCCGGTTACATGCTGAGAGTTTTTGCTAGAAGCCAGTTGCCCAGTGACATGCAAGTACCGGCAATGTGGTTAGCTATCAGCTGTCAGAGTAACTAAATTCTGAGCGCTAGGAAGGGGATCGATTCATAAGAGTAATGACTGACGTGTCTATGCCTCGCCAATGAATAGAATGCTAGCCAGGGTGAAGGTCTGAGTGTTTGGCGATCCTCTATACCCTCTGAGCATAACAAGTCCGCCGGTAGCGGCAAGGGACCATGCCTGGGAAGTCTACAATGAGCAAAAGCTCTACAGCAACGATTAAGCTTATACCTGAGCGGCAGCTTATTCATGCAGGTCCTGGTTGTGCGGCAACCAAGACTGCAGGTGTTACAAAGGCTTTGATTAAGGGTGGTTGCCTTGGGAACCGGAAACATCCGCTAACGCTTAGAGAGAAGCGGAGTAGCAGTGGTATTGCTTCCCCTCCGCTAGAAGGCATCACCGGAACTTTGTAAGGAGGTAGGAGTACATCAGCAAGCTCGCCTATTATCCAGGGCGCAGCCCCTACGTCCTGGCGGGCATTCTGCGCCACGAGCGCCCAGCGCGTCCGGCACCGCCAGAGTACAACCTTCGCGCCAGGCTCCGCCGCAGGACCGTCCCACTCTCTGGGACCGCCAGGAGATATGGCTCACGTCCGGAGGGCACTCGCCAATGCTCTGATCGCCTGGGCCGCCATGAGATTCCCTCCCACTCCGGAGACGCTAGGATGGAGTGACTCCGCCCACAGCACCTAGGAACTTTTGCTTCTTTTGATTACGTTAGTAGTACACGCGAGCACTTCCCAATGCTCTCACAGTTTTCTTGAATGCTCTCACGGCACGACGAATGCTCTCACGGCACGGCGAATGCTCTCACGGCACCGCGAATGCTCTCACGGCACCGCGAATGCTCCTGCGAATGCTCCCGCGAATGCTCCCGCGAACGCTCCCGCGAGGGCTTCCACGAGTGCTCCCAGAGCACTCACCAATGCTCACAGAGCTGAGGCATTCGTCATACCCACTCAAGGTGAGGCAACCCTAATTTGGGCTCCTTTTGATTGATACACCGTCCTCAAAGGATAGGAAGGCCGCACCAGTCCCTCAAAAGATATCTAACGTGGGTATCCTCAACGCCGCTGTACGGTCAGTCGCGGGATACTGATACGAGCACTGTCCTGTATACTGGTGATGACTACCCAACCTTTGACGGACGTGTATGTTTCTGTAGATTCGTGAAAGGCATAATTAGCCTTGAGGTTGAGGCCATGGTACGGCTCGTCTGAAAAGCTCAATGTCCATGCATAAGCAGCAAACATGGACTGGCATTGACCTCCTGGAGCGAGCTTGCTGGATAGCCAGACTCAGATACTGAGCGGCCGAAACTTTACCTCCTTCTTCCAATCCGCACGCATAGCAGAATGACACGAATTTTGAATTAGAGAGTTCAATTGGGTCAAACGTTCCTAGAGCACTCAAGAATGCCCTCACGGCTTTACAAGTATTCAACTAAATTCATTCCACGTACGCAAGTCTATCCTAGTATTTACCAACCAATTACCAGTCTCCACCTCAAACAAATGGGCCATTCCCAATATACTCCGAATATTAACGACCCACATCCTCTTCCTCCTCCTCCTACAAACCTTCAGGAGCCCATGTGAGCTATCAGCGATACCACGATCCTTTGCCTCGAGTAGCTCCACTATACATAGTCTATGTGCTCGCCCCCCACTGTCCCGCAGCTTGAACAAAGCCTCGACACGTCCTGGTAAGCGTCCCCGAAACACTCCCCACTCCTCTGAGGACGCTACCGACACCCATACCCAATCCTTTCTTATTTTCCCTTTCCTAAAAGCCGCGTTTCCCGTACACCTGATATTGTGAACCTCGTACACCTCAGGTCTTTGAAAGATTGGTATCGGAACCTGCAAACATGTGAACATCTCCACCCGGCACTCTAAAATGCTCTCAGAGCTTCCGGCAAAGCTTTGAGAGCATCCCGCATCCTCTGCATACTCCTTTATCAGGCGATATAACGTGGTATGGCTTATTTGCAGTCCATCCGCAATATTGAAAAGTCTTTCCGATTTCGTGCAGGGGTTGCAAAGACGCCTTAGAGGCAGTTGGCCTTCTACTATGGATCGTTCATTTGGTGTTTTTTTCCGGTCTTCGATTTTAAAAATCTCAAGTAACTCCTTCAGGTTATTTCGATGGCTCCAAAGGATGTCGTCAGTGCTCTCAGGACCTCCAACAATGTCTTTCAGATTCAGCATTCGAATCTCTAACGCCAACCGCCGCCCCCCATAGTCCAGTATCTGCGTTGCAGCATCGACCTTGTTGGATGCTCCGTATGCCTCTTTTATCTGACGTACATGGGCGAGTTCACTGATGTCGGTGGAGTACTGGGGAATGCTCCGAAAGCGCTCGACATGTTCCCGATAGTACGTTAACACGTGCAATTTGATGAAGTTGAAGTGAGACCTTTCCCGTATCTCGCGAATCTCCTCCAAACCTTGCTGAGCGCTCTGGGAGCCTGAGGTCTTCACAGCTTTTGTCTGATCTCTCGCATCCTTAACCGTCCTCTTGTATGCCCGGAATTCTAAAAGATATCCTTGTGCTTATGGAAATCCTCGAGATAGCTCTCCATATACTTCAGTGTGCTCGTCGTATGACTCCCATACTGCGCCATTAAGTGGAAGTCGATTAAGCCTCGTACACATTTCAATGCCTTTGCGAAGTCGCCCCTGACAGCCACCCCCGGGTTTCTCAAAGCAGCCGCGAGTGCTCCAAGAACGACCCGCCCCAGATTTCTCATCTCCTTCCCTTGCCATTGGGTTGTGGCACGATATGCCTTGTTCGGTACTGCCAGTCCAGGGTAAGGCGCAATCGAGGCCCAAGCCTTGTCAAATTCCTCCAATCGATTGTGCTTCTTCAAGAAAGCCTGAACCCACTCCATCATGTGCTTCAACATCCCTAGGTAGATATTGTGCAGAATGTCCGGTTTGTTGAGATCGTATGGATTAACCCTCAGCATACCCCAGAAAGCATTGAAGAGTGTCTTTACTGATCTCGCGACAAGGTATTCCACCGGTCCCAGGTTTCCCGGGTTCTCCCTGAATAGCTTTACCCTCTCCCGGTAATCCTCGTGATCGCGCGTAGGGCTCCGGCGAGTGCTCCCAAGACTGTGGAATTCCACCTCGCATCTTGGACAAGAGCTAGTACTAATATTTTGTAAGTTTGAATGCTCAGGTTGATCAGCGATCCAACCCGACAACACCGGAAAGCATAGACGTTCGTACCCGTCGGCGCATGCGATTAGCTCGCCTTCCTGAGAGCACTCCCGAATGCTCTGAAAGATCTCCCCAAGGGCGCGATGCAGCGCCATTTGACTCTGACGTCGTAAAGCGGAATTAGCGAGTGAGTTCTTCCCGAGCTTAGGTGGGACTGGCAGTAGCCCTAGGAGAATTAACGAATGCCCGGTGGGCTTGCTCCGGACCGATGACTTGATGTTCCCGATAGTAAGATAGATTGGCCAGGCTTTCTTGTCTCCACTAACATTTGTCAAATGTGTGCCATCTGACGCGCATATAATTGGTACCACAGTCGACCCTTCCGGTAAGGTATTCTGTCCAGAAAGCATTAGCGACTGCCTCTAGAGCACTTGTGAGGCTTACCAGACCTGCGTCTCCCACCACCAATCTCCCGTATGCATTTCCCCGTACATTCTCTCGCCAGATTCATTATGCTCTACCACTGGCGCGTACACCAATGACTCCCGAAAGGCCCGTTGGCGTAGAAGATATCGCACGATTACCATTGGATCCCGGTAATAGTAAGGGATTTTCTCTCCCCCAATATCCACCTCCGAATGATGCCAGCTCGCCTTTCCCAATATGTCATTCATTTCGTCCAACCTCTTTATAAAACCTTGCCCAGTCCTGTAGGAGCATTCGCCACTGCTTGACGGAGCGTGTAGAAAGAAACTGTCGATATTTCCTTGTGAGGCCTTCGACAGTATGAAATAACGTGCCATTCTAAACTCGTATGCTGAGTTGAATGGGTGCCACGGGTATCGGAGAAGGTTTTGTGAGCATTCATCGTAGTCCTCCGAGCGGTAGAGACGCTCCCCAGCACCCTCGTAAATTGTTGTCGCTGCCTCATGTCTATTTGCATCTCCATCTGTCTCTTCCATCATAAAATATGATTCGGATTCCAGATCTGAATTATTATCGGGATCTTGGTCATGATAATTGATACTGTTGCTCTCCGAACTATCCGAGTCGTCAAGGGCATCTGAATAGGAATCGTGAATGCCTTCCGGGCTGTCGTGAGTGTCATCGGGTGCCTCTTGATTGCGCTCCAGGAGTAAAAATTGGTTTCCCAGCCATTCATCTGCTTCTGTAACGGGGGTGCCTTGAAGGGGCGCGACCGTGACTTCGATCAGGTAGATAGGCAGAAAGGAATTCGACAAGCTATCCTTTCGGCTCGTTCGATGGAAAGATAGAGTTTCATTTGTTTGATCGTTATTTGTAGTCTAGAAACTTAATAACTTTAAGGGGGCTCCTCGCTGGTAAAGACTCCCTGATCCCCCCGAAACCAAGCTGGGGCAACCGAGTTCCTTTATGGAAGTTCGGCGCCCCTTCCTTCATTACCTCTTTCCTTTTTTCACTGGCCGTCCGCCTTTCAAATAATCTGGGGGCACCACCTATTTTCTATCAGGGGGGAGGAGAAGAGTTGCTACCACACCGCGGACGAATTTTCGTCCGAGTCAAATCTCGCAATCCTTGCCAAGAAAGGGTCGGGATCCTAGGAACTAGAGGAAACAGCCGACCAGACAGCAATTGCTTATTCAGAGTATTTAGAATAGATTTGGGTGTTTTTAAAGCAAAGGTTTTGCTTTGGTAGTTTGGGTCGCACTCTTACTCCCCCCCAAAGATGCACCGGGCTGAAACAGGAGGGTTCCGGCGGTTCGACGCTCCGGGGGTTATTTTTGGCGGTCTAAAACGTGTTTATTTTGCAGTGTTTCCTCAACTCCGCAATGCGTTCATTCAACCACCCCAAATGGACCGGAGCATCGCCAGGATCCTTTCTGACGTGGTAAAGCATATTTTCCGGGCATCGGCTGCAAAGTTATTGCGCCTCAAAGGTTGAATGCCAAGGTAGGGTAACTTATGTTTGGGGTTACCCTTCCTTATTTGGTCTGCTCGTCCTGCTGCTCTAGTTTTGGTCCAGTCGTCTAGCTTGACTTGTAAGACTTCTTGCTCGCCAGGATCTCTACCCTCTATACCAATAGAGGTAGGGGCTCATCTGCCCTTCTCTTCACCCATCGATGAAGAACCAGCTGCGGTTAACCTAGGGCCGTATGGCTTGACTGGTAGAACAGGTATTTTTGTAACAGCCCTACTGTGGCCCTGTTACACTACTCCTCCCTCCGGTAGACTCGTCCCGAGTCTAACCTAGGGTTTTTTGGTATGGTACGTTATGAGCATACAAGAAAATGTAGCTCTAATAATCATTCCATACAAACTCAATGTAACGGGGACAGCCTTTCCTCGTATCGCTAGAATCCGAGAGAAAGGATTTGGCCGTGCAAGATAGAAATCAGGAAATCGGATAGTTGGGCGGGAAGGATCCTGAGTACTTATACTCCAAAGGATTCCATTCCCTGCTCCTACTCCCTTACTAAGTTCTGGTGATCCCTTCTAGCGGAAGGGAAGCAATACCACCGCTACCCCGCTTCTCTCTAAGCGTTAGCGGGTGCTTCCGGTTCCGAAGGCAACCACCCTTAGTCAAAGCCTTTGTAACACCTGCAGTCTTGATTGTCGCACAACCGGGACCTGCATGAATGAGCTACCGCTCAGGCGTAAGCTTAATCATTGCTGTAGAGCTCTTCACTTATTGTAGACTTTCCCAGGCATAGTCCCTGCCACTACCGGCGGACTTATCATGCTCAGAGGATGTAGAGGATCGCCGAGCACTCAGAGCTTCACTCTGGCTGGCCTTCTAATCATTGGCGAGGCATAGACTCGTCAATCATTGCTCCCATGAATAGATCCTCTTCCTAGCGCTCAGAATGTAGTTACTCTGACAGCTGGTAGCTAACCACACTGCCGGTACTTGCATGTCACTGTGCAACTGGCTTCTATCAATAACTCTCAGCATGTAACCGGGCCCTGTGTGTACTCATACACCAGACAGTTGAAATGGCTCCGTTACACTCTATTTTTTGCATCCATTTCTATTGACAAAGGAAACCTCAAGTGAAACGTGTGACCTAACAAGGGGAGACTCGTTTTCTCCACGCTTATCCCAGAACACTCCGTCGTCTCGGTTTCCCGCACTTTCCTGTATTACCATGCGTCCCATGATTTTCGGGGATACTTCGCATGGAACTCTCGGAGTGGCTCGTCTGCCATTCCTTACAACAATTTGTACGGTTCCCAAGAGTCTTCTGAGAGATAACCCTCCCAGGTAATCCGATATTGCACGAACTTCTTCCCACGACCAGCCTGCTGTCATTGGCTATCGGCTATTTTCTTGAGAACGTAACTGCCTTCCCCTTGAACCTCATCCGGAGGTGGAAGCAGTATAGCTCGTTGAGGGTCCAGCAGAGATATATGGAAGATATCATGAATGTTCCACTGAGTGGGTAGATTCAGCCTGTAGGACGCGACGCCAAGTTTCCCGACAACCTCAAAGGGACCCATTTTCTTTTTGGTGGTCTAGCTTATTTGAGGGTCACTTGGTTAAGATGTTGCATCGGTCCAGCATCACCTCGTCCCTAACCTTCAGTTCTGGAGCACTCATCTGTTTCTGATCATACCATTTTTTCTGCTGTGCTTGTGCCGCGCTGGACGCGTCGAAGTTGTCTAGTTTCCGTTTAAGTGAGGGCCAAGTGGAATCTGGTTGAAACCTATAGTTCGCGTAGAATGGCGATGCTTTGGTTGACTCTTGGGTGGCCGTGTTGTAGGCGTACTTGGCAAGCGGGAGTAACTCTGCCCAATCGTCCCGCTGACAGAAGCAATAGTTTTTTGAGATACTGTTCTAGCGTTTGGTCGACTCTCTCAGTTTGCCCGTCAGTTTGAGGACGATATGTTTCGAATCTAGAGTCCTGATCGGAGATAATCTCCTCAGGAAGTCCATGCAGTCGCCATATCTCCCGGAGGAAGATTTGAGCAAGTTCTTCGATGGTTGCTTTGGTGATGAAGTCCATTGAAATGGAACTCCAAGGAATAGAGAGGACCTCTAAAGGTTGCAACATCTCTTTCTTCTTGTGTGTTTGAGGCTTTAGCGCGTTGACATGTATCGCAACTCTGAACGTATTCTTCCACATCGTTGTCCATCTTTTGGCAAAGGACAGTGCCCGAAGGCGTTCTGCCGTTTTGAATTGTCCAAAGTGACCGGCAGTCTTCGAATCATGTAGGGCGCTCAGGATCTTGAGCTTCAGTTCCCGATGATTTGGAATGTACCACCTTTCCTTATAGAAGACGTGTCCGTCCTTTAAAGTCAGGTATCGGTTCACCAGATTCCCAGAGGTGTTCTCAATGGCTTTTTTCAAAGAGAGGTACTCTGGATCTAAGGCTGCTTGAGCCCAGATTTCATCCAGGAGCACCGGTGTGAGTTTGCAGATTTGGGCTGATCTTGCACATGCTGAGTTGATCATAACGATCGGGTGTTGGACAGAACCCATTATAAGTTGTCCTGGCTTAAACAAGAATTTCAGGGTCTTGATGAGCCTTACCCCCCTCTTTAAGGGCGTGGTCCCAACGCCGCGACAAGATGTCTGGTTTGGCGTTTTTAGTTTTCCAGGGCGGTATACAACTTTGAAATCAAACTCCGCGAGGTTGGCCGCCCATCGAGCTTATCTCGGTTTCAGCGCCCCCCCCCTTTTTTTTTTTTTTGCTGGTTGGTGACGACCGTGACCGTATCTTTGTAGGAACGCAGAAGGTGACTCCGGGGGTGGTGTACCTCTATGGGATTCCGGGGACAACCCCTTGGCGAACCCAGGCTGGAGGAAACCCAGAGGTGTAACGGAGGTAAAGCGAGCCCAACTCATGCCTAGGTTCGGAAATATGGGAACTGAGGATCTTATCATCCACTAACTGACCCTTGGCTGTGAGGGTAAGGGCCTTCCATTGGGCTGCCGCATCATCCCTAGAGATAGCTTCGCCAAAGGCTGCTCTGAGAGCATCCACAAAGGAATCCCAGCACTTCCATTTCTCATTTAACACCACAGACATCCCAGCTATCCGGTTGGCAGAAGCTTGGTCAATGGAGCTGTGGTAAGCCTCATACCAGTTGGCTGGGGCTTCTCCTTCCATCAGGTTACCAGCATATCGGATCCTAACCTCTTCGTAGGTAAAGAACTGGCTTTCAATGGAGAAGACATTCTCACATTGCCTGATGAAGGTCTCCACATTGTTTGCTTTGCCATTGAACTTGGCCTGAGGGTGTGAGGGGGCCGGAGGTCTCATGAACTGTGTCATGGAGGCCAGGAGCTCTGTCTGCTGCTTCTCCAGCATCTTCCTGAGGTATCTCCGCCATCCTCTCCTATCTCCATACTCAGGCTCCGAATCTGAAATATCTGAGTCCCCTCCCGGGTTGGGATCGCCACCAACCGGGGGGACTATTCCATTTTGTCCACCATTACCCGCTGGTTCTGGGTTCCGGTTTTTTCTCCACCGGGGGTTTCCCTCCGGCTGGAGGTTTCCCTCCGGCTGGAGGTTTCTCCTGGGAGACTTCGCTCGTTGAAGCATGACACAATGGCACCTAACTCCTTGTCGTGAACGTCATAATTCCGTTCGGCTTGTGACATCATTTTGGAGTAAAAGACTCCTGGATACCACTTGTTGTCATCTCGGTGGAATTGGGACGGTATGCTAGATTTAGCGAAGTTGGAGGCATCGGTCTCAATCTTGGTAGCTAGCTCGGCATCAAAGTGGGCTAGTACGGGGGCGGATGGAAGGCCTCTTTCAGGACTTCGAACGCATGCTCCTATCCCTCAGACCAGGTAAACTCGGTGTCCTTGTCTCCTTCCACGGTTAGTGCCGGGTTCGGTTAAAGCCGGACCGAACTCCTGCTTCGGCTAACCACGCTGATTCTCGGAACTGGAATAGGAGTTCGCTTATAAAAGCGGGGTATCCGTCGAACTAAGGAGGGTAAGAATTCTTTTCCTTCTATTCATTCTACACTCCAGGGAGTTCGATCTTTCCACACCCAACACCAAATTTATCACCTCCTTTCAGCAATAATGTTTTTCTTTATTCTATTCCTCTCTTAGTTCATTGCGATAAACTCGTCTATTGTACAAGCGTTTTTATCTAACGCTAGTTGATCTCGGCGGGGGACAAGGCTTAGATCCTCAACTGGTTCGGTTGTTACTGATCTCCTGGTGCTGGATGGTGGTAACACCATCCACGCTCGGAGAGTTGCTCGTAAAGCCGTCCGATCACGGAGTGCTATGAGGTAGGCATGATTCAGCGAGTTGTGTAACCTCTTCTTACTACCGCTAATGCTTCCACAGGCATGCTGTTCCTCGGAGTTTGGAGACCTCGACCTTCGATGGCCATTTCAACCAGGTCCCATTTCTGACTCGGGAGGATTACCGTCGTCCTTATCCCTTCTCCCAACCAGGGGACAGAAGTGTTGGTCAGGCTCGTGTCCGTGCGGCACTGATGGAGAAACGGGAACAGGTGCGGTGGATGCGGGATGAGATTGCGCGAGATGGAAGGGGAGCTGAGTGGATGCGGCAGCGAGTGGTCCAAGAAGAGGCAAGGGAGAGACAAAGACTGGCTCTCCAAGCATATTACGAGGCATGGTGGCGCCAGAAGAAAGCCAGTTATCCCCCTCTTCCGGACTCTTCCTGCCGTCATCGTGGACGAAGTAACGTTGACTTTGGTTGGGACTGGGGCCCAGATGGGGAATGGGGGCCGTTGGTCAATGGGACTATCAGGATTTTCTAGGAGCGATCCTGAATGTGGTCTCCTTTCCGAGCGAAGCTGGGCGCTATAACCCTTTGAGCGAATGTGGGCGCTATAACCCTTTGAGCGAATGTGGGCGCTATAACCCTCTGACGGATACAGTGGAGACCATAGTAAAGTGTTAGCCTCTCCCATGCCAGCCTGAGCTGAAAAAAAAAGCTAACTGCTCGGTTATTTCAGCCTTGAAAGTGGTCCTAGGTGTTCAGGTAGGTTTTTTTTCTTTCTCGTGAGGTTCTTTAAGCGAGGAGCTTAAAGTTATACTGTAACGGGGGTGCCTTGAAGGGGCGCGACCGTGACTTCGATCAGGTAGATAGGCAGAAAGGAATTCGACAAGCTATCCTTTCGGCTCGTTCGATGGAAAGATAGAGTTTCATTTGTTTGATCGTTATTTGTAGTCTAGAAACTTAATAACTTTAAGGGGGCTCCTCGCTGGTAAAGACTCCCTGATCCCCCCGAAACCAAGCTGGGGCAACCGAGTTCCTTTATGGAAGTTCGGCGCCCCTTCCTTCATTACCTCTTTCCTTTTTTCACTGGCCGTCCGCCTTTCAAATAATCTGGGGGCACCACCTATTTTCTATCAGGGGGGAGGAGAAGAGTTGCTACCACACCGCGGACGAATTTTCGTCCGAGTCAAATCTCGCAATCCTTGCCAAGAAAGGGTCGGGATCCTAGGAACTAGAGGAAACAGCCGACCAGACAGCAATTGCTTATTCAGAGTATTTAGAATAGATTTGGGTGTTTTTAAAGCAAAGGTTTTGCTTTGGTAGTTTGGGTCGCACTCTTACTCCCCCCCCAAAGATGCACCGGGCTGAAACAGGAGGGTTCCGGCGGTTCGACGCTCCGGGGGTTATTTTTGGCGGTCTAAAACGTGTTTATTTTGCAGTGTTTCCTCAACTCCGCAATGCGTTCATTCAACCACCCCAAATGGACCGGAGCATCGCCAGGATCCTTTCTGACGTGGTAAAGCATATTTTCCGGGCATCGGCTGCAAAGTTATTGCGCCTCAAAGGTTGAATGCCAAGGTAGGGTAACTTATGTTTGGGGTTACCCTTCCTTATTTGGTCTGCTCGTCCTGCTGCTCTAGTTTTGGTCCAGTCGTCTAGCTTGACTTGTAAGACTTCTTGCTCGCCAGGATCTCTACCCTCTATACCAATAGAGGTAGGGGCTCATCTGCCCTTCTCTTCACCCATCGATGAAGAACCAGCTGCGGTTAACCTAGGGCCGTATGGCTTGACTGGTAGAACAGGTATTTTTGTAACAGCCCTACTGTGGCCCTGTTACAGCTTCAAATGGATGTGTAGTTCGAAGATGTTTATCGAAGTTCGCGGAGGAGCTGTACCGCTTGCTGCAAAAGGGGCAAGACGATTTCATTGAAGTCTCATGATGCTAGCAAAGCACTCCTGAGTGCTCTAAAAATTTGGTTTCTGCCAAGGCCGAGGAGGCTCTTTCCTGCAGGTGCTGCTGCAGAGTGCTCGAATGATTTGATTTGTCAGGCAATGAGGCTCCTCTCACCTGCACCCCGGTCGGCAAGGCTGATTTTCTATACGAGTCTGATGTCATACATCACCAACCTAATACAAACATCAACACCAACACGAAGAAACACCCACCACCCCAATCAGGCGGCCAGTTATGCTAGATTCTATCGCCCTGAGCATCTGCACTCTCTCCCTGAGCACTCGCGGAGTCTCTTCATATCGAGACAGTGTTCTCAGCGCCTAATTCAACACTAATATCGACTACGAGCTCAAAGAATACATTCTCTCCGAATCAGTTTCCTAGAGGACAGAGTACCAACACCAACAAGAACACAAGCACCAAGCCCAACACCAGAATGTTATCGACGTCACCATTGGTACCGTCAGAGCATCCCCGAGTGCGCCTGGAGCATTTAGATCAACGTCATATATTGAAGCAAACATTGAGTACGAGCACCCTCGAGTGCTTCTAGAGCATTCGTGGGTGCTCTCGGAAGCGTGATAAGCTCAAGAAAAAAGCTGATCGTACTCGGTATAAGAGCACCCCTCCCTTCCTTCAAGTTCGTGAGAAGTTCCTAACCACCTTCAAGTTCTCCTCTACCTATCACTTCAAGTTTTCCATTGCTTTCAACATTACCTGTTGAAATCTCATCCTTCAAGTTCCTCCGTTTTCAAGCGATTTAACCTTTGCAATCTTTATAAATAAGATGGTATTTCTCTCTCCTAATCCAATTAATTTTAGAACCATACTCACCACAGTGATACATTAACATTATCAGACTCCAAACACCGCTCAGAGCACTCCCGGTAGCTCACAGAACACAAATCAACTTCCCAATAAGAAGCGCTTGCGTGACATAGACCAAGACGATAACGAAAAGACCCACCGAAAAACCAAGAAACACAAATCGTCCCGAGAACATAAGAAACACCGAACTTCCTCAGGTCGCAAATCGTCCCGCAAAACTGTCAAGCTTAGCCCGGAGGAGATACCAGAAACACCCCCTAAGCAGTCGCCAGTGCTTTCCGGGTTCACCCCGATCAACAAGAGCCGAAAACAAAACCCTGTACCTCTACCAATCCGGACTGAAACCCGGACTCCGCCAAATACTAACCTAGCTCCATCGGACACTGAAGGGATCTTCCCGAGTAACTGGGGAGCAACCCTAACTGATTCCGACTCCTTTCCCGACTTTAGTTCCGAACCCTCTGAACCATACATAAGTGACGATCAAGACCCAGCAACAGGTCCAGCAACAGGCCCACTAGCAGCAGTCTCCACTGCTTCCTCAGCATGCAGCAGTGCTTCACCAGAGGCCCTTGTACGGACGACCGTACTTAGGGTTAGTGCTACCCCACCAGCACCCGCTAGTGCTCCACAAAAGAATGTTGCCCGGAAGACCATAGTCCCAAGTCAAGTTCTCACTCGGTCCAAGTCTAGTGCAGTCCGCTCAACAGGCCCAGCAACAGGCCGCTCAACAGGCCGCTCAACAGGCCCAGCAGCAACAGGCCCAGCAACAGGCCGCTCAACAGGCCCAGCAGGCTCTACTACTCCCTCACCAGCACCCGTCAGTGCTCCACCGAAGGTTCTTGCACCGGAGACTCCTACATTCAAGCCCCGACGCCACTCTCGGTTATTTTCTAGTGCAAGCCCATCCGAACTAATAGACCACCCCTCACCAGTACGACAGAGACGAATTAGACCCGAGCCATCGCCGATTGTCCAAGAGACATCCCCGAGTGTTCAAGAGACATCCCCGAGTATTCAAGAGACATCCCCGAGCTCGACCGCATTCAAGATAACTCAAGCAAGCAAAGCGAAGATGACTTTAGGTCTACTCAACCTACCTAAAGTGTACACCAGCATCCGCAACAGCCTAAAGGCGGAAATGCAAAATGTGGGTTGGGTCAATAAAAGCACGTCCGGTATGGCTGCGTTCAATGCCCTATGCCCTTACTTGATGAACTTGCCCTCCCTCAACGGTTTTCTGCCAATTTGGACTGGGGGTGATTCCGATGTCCGTAGAGCACTGGCGAGTGCTCTACAGTGGCTCATCGCAGATGTTGGTATGAAGGATAGGTTATCAACGGGACAGGGAGACCGTCAGTTCAAAGAGGCTGCCGGTGATAGTGATGATGATGATGACGGCGGTGGTCAGGCAGCCAGAAGATGCTCTCGCAAAGGGAAAGAGCGTGCAGTACCTCCGGAACTCGTGCGACCTTCCATAATGGTTACCGTGGTGGACCCCGATGCTCTAGGGGCATTCTTTATGCTCGTCCCACCACCTACTTATGACTGGAATGATCCCCTGAACGAACCTTCGTTCATCGAAATTTTGACCAAGATAACTTTCCCCGAGCTATGCAACTTGATCCTGAAGCACACCGCACCCGGCAGAGCAGTCAGGTGTAACGGGGGCAGTCTGTCTATGTATCGCTAGAATCCAATAGAATAGATGCGGTCGTGCAAGATAGAAATCAGGTGCAGATTTATTCAAAGATACTATCGCTAGAACTCAATAATCTTTAAGGGCTCTGCTACCGATAATTCTAGGTCAAGATGAAGATGAGGATTCGGACAGTTGGGCGGGAAATGATCCTGAGTACTTATACTCCAAAGGATTCTATTCTCTGCTCCTACTTCCTTACTAAGTTCCAGTGCTGCCTTCTAGCGGAAGGGAAGCAATACCATCGCTACCCCGCTTCTCTCTAAGCGTCAGCGAGTGCTTCCAGTTCCGAAGGCAACCACCCTTAGTCAAAGCCTTTGTAACACCTGCAGCCTTTGTTGCCACACAACTGGGGCCTGCATGAATGAGTTGCCGCTCAGGTGTAAGCTTAATCATTGCTGTAGAGCTTTCGCTTATTGTAGACTTCCCAGGCATAACCCTTCCGTTACCGGCGGACTTCCAATGCTCAGAGGATGTAGAGGATCGCCGAGCACTCAGAGCTTCCCTCTGGCTGGCCTTCTAATCATTGGCGAGGCACAGACTCGTCAGTCATTGCTCCCATGAGTAGATCCTCTTCCTAGCGCTCAGAATGTAGTTACTCTGACAGCTGGTAGCTAACCACTCTGCTGGTACTTGCATGTCACTGTGCAACTGGCTTCTAACAATAACTCTCAGCATGTAACCGGGCCCTGTGTGTACTCATACACCAGACAGTTGAAATGGCTCCGTTACACTACTCCCCTCTTCCAGGATCTTGGTCTCCGAGATCTATAACCTATATCTATTGCTTATGCTATGTGACAAAGAAACTTCTTCTGGTGTGGGAGGGGGATGAGAATCTGAAGGAATCGCTACTGGCCAAGAGCTCTCTGGTCTCTGGGCTTTTTAGGATACCTCATATGGAAGTCCCGGAGGGCTTCTTCAGCACTCTTCCTGAGATGTTCCCAGGGTTCCCATGTAGGGTCCTCATTCTCATAACCTTCCCATAGCACCAAGTATTCCACCCTTCTCCTTTTCTTATTGACTCGGCTATCAGCTACCTCTCGGACGATCCAGTTCTGTTCTCCTGCAATTTCCTCAGGTTCCGGCGGGGGAACTCTTCTCTCAGGGTCTATTGGCGATCTATAGGGTTCTAGGAGAGAAACATGGAAGACAGGATGGATTCCCATTTGCGGGGGAAGAGAGAGCCTGTAGGCACGGGTACCAATAGCCTCCAGGACCTTGAAGGGTCCCATTTTCTTCTGATCCAATTTTCCCAATGGCTGCTTTGTTTGCACATTGCGCCGGTCTAACATGACTTCGTCTCCAGGCTTGATTTCAGGCGGTGCCAGGGCATGTACATCATACCACCGGGCCATCCTTAATCTAGCCTTTCCTAAGCTTGCATTCATAGCCTGCCAGATAGATTCCCATTGAGATACCATGACCTCGCTTGCTGGATTGTTCCATTCGACACCTTCCTTTGGGGCGGGCCAATTGGTCCTGGGTTCATATCCATAGTTGGCATAGAAAGCCGATACTTTGGTAGACTCAGAGACCGCCGAGTTGTATGCATACTCTGCCAAAGGCAAGAGGTCCGCCCAGTCATCCTGTTGATACGAACAATAACTCCGCAAGTAATGTTCCAGGGTCTGGTTAACTCTTTCTGTCTGGCCGTCTGTTTGGGGATGGAACGAAGTGGACATCTTCAGCTTCACATTGAGGAGGCTCATGAGAGATTGCCAAAAGTGAGAGATGAATCTGCTATCTCTGTCCGAGACTATGTCATCAGGTAACCCGTGGAGTCTCCAGACTTCCTTCAAGAACAACCTGGACAAATCTTCCGTCTTGTTGAGTGTAGGAAGTGGGATGTAGTGTGCCATCTTTGAAAAGCGGTCCACTATTACCCAAATCTTTGTAAACCCATTTGACTCCGGTAATCCCACAATGAAGTCCATAGAGATGGAGGTCCATGGCCGATAAGGTATCTCCAGCGGTTGGAGCATACCAAACTTCTTATGTCTTGAGGTCTTATTCCTCTGGCAGCTGTCACAGCTCCGGACATATTCCTCAACATCCTTATCCATGTTGGGCCAAAAGAAGTTATTTTTCACCCGCTCTAATGTCTTGAACTGGCCGAAATGGCCTGCCACTTTAGAGTCATGGGTATCGGTCAGGATATCCATCTGCAGCTTCTTGTCTTTGGAAATATACCATCGCTTCTTATAGAAGATGAGGCCGTCCTTGACAGACAAGTTCTGGTCCAAGTTTGGTTTCCTTTCAACCAGGGAGCGGTGCAGTTCCTGCCAGATTCCATCCTCTTTAGCTGCCGCAGATAGGCGCTCTAAGAATGTATTCTGCAATTGATTCACCCTGACAGCCGCTAGCTTAACAGGATCCAAAACCAATTGACCTGGCCTAAAAAACATCTGTGGCTCCGGCCGCAAGGTTTCACTCCCCTCTTCAGGGCGGTGATCCCAACGCCTAGATAGTACATCAGGTTTGCCATTCTTTTCTCCCGGTCTGTAGACAACTTTGAAATTGTAGCGTGCGAGGTCTTCAGACTATCTAGCTTGCCGCCTAGTGAGAACCTTGGTAGAGTTGAAGTACTCTAAGTTCTTGTGGTCTGTGAAAACTGTGATCTCATGCTCACAACTCTTGAGCATATGCTCCCATTCCCGGAAAGAGGCTACAATAGCTCCCATTTCCTTGTCATGAATGTCGTAGTTGATCTCAGCGGGGAGAACTTCTTAGAATAGAAAGCTACCGGGTGTAGTTTCCCATCTTCCCCATACTGAGAGAGCACCGCTCCTTTGGCAAAGTCACTGGCATCAGTTTCAACCACAGTTCTTCTACTAGGGTCAAAATGGAGAAGGATTGGAGCGCTTGTGAATAGCCTCTTGAGTTCCTCAAATGCTTGTTCACAGGCTGCGGTCCAATACCATTTCTTGTCTTTTTGCAAGAGGTCGGTCAATGGTTTGCAAACCTTACTGAAGCCTTCAATGAAGCGGCGATAGAAGTTTGCAAATCCCAGAAAACCTTGCACTCCCTTAATTTCGGGGTACTGGCCATTCCTGAACCGCCTCCACCTTATCCTCTGACATAGACACTCCTTTTCTGAGATGTGATAGCCAAGGTATTCTACTTCTCGGACATGAAAGGATGTCTTGCTGATGGAGGCACACAGTTTTGCTTCTCTGAGCTTCTGTAGGACCTTCTCAACCAGCCTTTCATGCTCTTCCTCGGTCTCTGAGTAGATGAGGATGTCGTCAATGTAGACAACAACTCCTTCATCCAGTAGTTCCTTTAGCACATCATTGATCATTGCCTGGAAGGCGGAAGGGAGCGTTGCATAGACCAAATGGCATCACATTATACTGATACAGTCCATAGCGGGTTCTGAAAGCGGTTTTCCATTCATGCCCTCTGCTATCCTGATCAAATTGAAGCCATTCTTCAGGTCTATCTTTGTGAAGATCTTGGCCTTGAACAACCTATCCCTGAGCTCGCTCATGATAGGCAGAGGGTACTTGTCCTTGACAGTGACCTTGTTCAAACCTCTGTAGTCAACACAAATCCGCCATGTCCCATCCTTCTTAGGTATGAACAATATGGGTGCCGCTGCTGGGCTGTTAGATCTGGAGATCTTTCCTAAAGACAACTCTTTGTCTAGGTACTCCCGGAGGGCCTTCAACTCTGGAGCGGAACATGGGTAAAGCGGGCCAAATGGGGGAGCGGTACCGGCAAGAGATTGATCTTCAAATCATTCCGGGAGTGCGGAGGCAACTCCTGTATCTTCTCTTGACTGAATACATCTGCCCATTCCCTATAGCGGAGGGTATCCTTTCAGCGATATCCCCTCCCTCCTCATCGTGCCATACTGAAGCGGCCAGTTGGTATACTACATCTTCTTCTTCCATCATTTCGTATGAAGAGATGAGTTCAAACTTGATCGCCGCTGGGAGACAGTTCTGCTTGCAGTAGTCACTTCTCCAGCTTATGGTATTGAGTTCCCAATTGATATCCGGGTTATGCTTCCTTGCCCATGCAATTGGCAGGTAACCTGATATTCCTTCTTCCAAAGTTGCTACCTCCCATCGGAGTGTCTCCTTATGATCTCCCATGCTCATGTGGACTGGGTGAGTGTAATACTCTCCTCCGCCCATCATGACATCTCCTTGAGCATCATACATTGTCAGGGGTTGATCTCGCCGCACTAAGGGTACTCCATGCTTCCTGACAAAACTCTGGTTGAGGATTGCTCCTGTACAACCGGTGTCAAAGAGGAATGTCCCTTGGGCATCTTCAACTTTATTCTTGACCGTCCATGACAGTCCTGCTTTCAGTATTGGCCTCTTGCCATGTACTGGTAAGGAGGAAGCTTCTCTTCTAACCTTCTTCGCTTCTGTGCGGATTCTGGGCTGGATGCTCTTTGTCTTTTCTCCATTGCTTAACAGTTGCGGGCACTACTAAGATCAAAAGATCCTTTGGTTCTATTCCCAAGCAATGATAAAGCAAGTATTGTGTGGTAGTCTGGTATGGCTTTTGGAAGTGTCTTGTAGCAAATATAACTTTGGCAGAGCACTTACAGACCAGCTGTTTCGGGTCATAAACCCATCCTCAGAGTGCTTGGAAACAATCAAATCGGCGGAAACACAATAATTTATTCAAGAGAAATGAAGAAACAAACCCAAAAGAAAACTAGTAAACATAGACTCTAGACAGACACCTTTCTACCAGATGATTTCATTGTCCGAGTCTTGCTCAGGCTGAAAAACGAAATCTCCTGTAACCTCTGGGAGTACAACAAGTGGTTCTTCTGCTACACAGCAGCCACCTTAGCTTTCTTCTGAGGATTGGGCTTGCCATTTCCTCTTTTCCGCTTTTGTACCCTCACTGCTGCCACTCGGACTACAGTAGGTTCCCTGGACCAACAATCGGTCCATTTGTATCTGGACTTGCCTCACTATTGCACAAGTCAGTCTATGCACTCTACCAAGAGGGAGTACCGGAAGGTCATACCTTCAAGCATACTTCTGCTTTCCTTCTTTCTTCTAGAATATCCCCTGGGATACCCTTCAGCTCCACCGCTTTGTCTTTGGAACTGGCCTCCTTCTGAGGTTTGGAGGAGCTTACAGCTTCTCTCTTCCTCTTGGGGTGCCGTTCCTTCTCAGCAGGGGGATCTTTCTTGATCCTGGCGGGTGCTTTCTCAGCTACTACCGTCTGGTACCTCTCATGGGTGTGTCCTAGCTCCCTTAGAGCAGCTATCCGCTCCATCAAAGACTTTGGCTTGGGGGTAAAGAGAGCCCAACTCATGCCTAGATCCGGGAGGAGGGAACTAAGGATCTTATCATCCACCAACTGACCCTCATAGCCAGTCTTCCACATCAGCTGAATAATGCTATTCAGGAAGGAGTCTATTTCTCCCTTAGCTGTGTGGGTGAGGGTATTCCATTGGGCTACAGCATCATCCCTAGAGATGGCTTCGCCAAAGGCTGCTCTGAGAGCGTCCACAAAGGAATCCCAGCGCTTCCATCTCTCATCCAACACCACAGGCATCCCAGCTATCCGGTTGGCAGAAGCTTGGTCAATGGAGTTGTGGTAAGCTTCATACCATTTGACCGGAGCATCTCCTTCCACCAGGTTGCCAGCGTAACGAATCCTAACTTCTTCAGAGGTAAAGGACTGGCTTTCAATGGAGAAGACATTCTCACATTGCCGGATGAAGGTCTCCACATTGTCTGCTTTGCCATTGAACTTGGCCGGAGGGGGTGCCTTGGGTTCTCGGACCCTAGAGGCGGCGGAGGAGTGTGAGGGGGCCGGAGGTCTCATGAACTGGGCCATGGAGGCCAGGAGTTCTTTCTGTTGCTTTTCCAACTTCTTCCTAAGGTACCTCCGCCATCCTCTTCTGTCACCATCCTCAGGCTCCGAGTCTGAACTATCTGAGTCTCCTCCTGGGTTGGGAGCGCCACCAACCGGGGGGACAATTCCATCTCCTCCACCATTACCCGCTGGTTCTGGGTTCTGGTCTTCTCCACCAGGGTTTCCTTCTGGCTGGAGGTTCCTCCTAGGTGACTCCGGGGGTGGTGAGCCTCTGTGGGATTCTGGGGATAACCCCTGGCGAACCCAGGCTGGAGGAAGCCCAGAGGGACCACCTCTAACCGGTGTCTGGGAGTAGTAGTCATCGTCTCCTATCGGCCGTCGGCGGGGCCTGGCCAGGCCACCTGCCAAAGGGCTTGCTGGGGCTCTTTGAGGAGGGAGGGGTGAGCCTCCAATGGCCGCTGGCATCATCAGGGGAAGAGTTCTCTGCCTGCTAGACCTGACCGGAAACGCTGCAAAGGGGTTCACCCTTTGGTGGAAGGTTCTCAGGGCCGCTCTGGACGAGGCCCTGGAGTTCTGTGGAGGTGCGGGGTTGGGGACAGGTGCTGGTGTGGGCATTCTGGCGATGGAGAGCCTTCCTTCATTGATGGCTCTCTGGATATCCTCCAGGAAGTTTGGTGGCATCGCCGGGTTTGTCCATTCAATGTCCTCCATCTCATCCGCCCTAAGTCATCTCTCTGGGCATAACTCTGGAGTTGTGCCTGGACTGAGGAGACTTGTTCTTGCATATAGCCGAAGGCATTCCGGAGCAATACCGCCTCAGCTTCTTGTCTTTCTTGCACCAAGGCTAGCGCATTGCCGGCCTTGATGACTTCCTGTTGTAGGCTGTGCTTAAGTAGCGCTGCAACTCCGCAAAGAAGTCCTGTAGGGTGACTTCACCGGTATCTTGCCAGGTGGGCTCACATCCGGGGATGTAGGACTGGAGCGCCGTCCTGGGCTTGTGGATCAACTGTGTCTGACCTTCTTGGAACTCTAAGGCTGCCGGTTGCCATTCAATCTGAAGAGGCACTTGGGGAGCTGGGAGGGCGGACATGTTGTAAGAGGAAAGAATAATCTGAAGGTGATTTGAGCACTAAAGATTATCTGTAATGGGGGCAGTCTGTCTATGTATCGCTAGAATCCAATAGAATAGATGCGGCCGTGCAAGATAGAAATCAGGTGCAGATTTATTCAAAGATACTATCGCTAGAACTCAATAATCTTTAAGGGCTCTGCTACCGATAATTCTAGGTCAAGATGAAGATGAGGATTCGGACAGTTGGGCGGGAAATGATCCTGAGTACTTATACTCCAAAGGATTCTATTCTCTGCTCCTACTTCCTTACTAAGTTCCAGTGCTGCCTTCTAGCGGAAGGGAAGCAATACCATCGCTACCCCGCTTCTCTCTAAGCGTCAGCGAGTGCTTCCAGTTCCGAAGGCAACCACCCTTAGTCAAAGCCTTTGTAACACCTGCAGCCTTTGTTGCCACACAACTGGGGCCTGCATGAATGAGTTGCCGCTCAGGTGTAAGCTTAATCATTGCTGTAGAGCTTTCGCTTATTGTAGACTTCCCAGGCATAACCCTTCCGTTACCGGCGGACTTCCAATGCTCAGAGGATGTAGAGGATCGCCGAGCACTCAGAGCTTCCCTCTGGCTGGCCTTCTAATCATTGGCGAGGCACAGACTCGTCAGTCATTGCTCCCATGAGTAGATCCTCTTCCTAGCGCTCAGAATGTAGTTACTCTGACAGCTGGTAGCTAACCACTCTGCTGGTACTTGCATGTCACTGTGCAACTGGCTTCTAACAATAACTCTCAGCATGTAACCGGGCCCTGTGTGTACTCATACACCAGACAGTTGAAATGGCTCCGTTACATCAGGACTATCTGGGGGGCAATTGAGAATGTCCCCCCGGCAGCTGTTCCTCCCGTTCGGCCGGTGCAGGTACAAATTACCGATTCAGAGGAGCTCGAAGGTTGGTTGAAGAACAGCAATGCCAGGCCTCGGGGGATATTGGCGGTCCTCCACAGAGCATGCTCGGGTGCTAACCTGGGTGGTGCGGAATCCCCCCCGTTGAACCCGGCTTTCCTTCACGTTGAGGAAGATGATTATAGCATGATCGATATTCCTGCAGAGGATTCGGATTACGTGGAGGGAAAGCACCGGATAAATGCCAAAGGACTGAGGGTATATATGGCTAGAACTGATGCCAGTAATCAAAGGCTAATGCAGACTCTTGTTAGGCGTCGCGATAGACAGCAGGATGCTATCGACGATTTAGACCCCAAATACCTTAGGAAGTATCCTTTGGGTGTCGGGGTTGCTGACCCAAACTTCTTACAAGGGACGATCTGGACACCTGACGGGATAGCAGCCAAGAGAACTGCTGACGCACTCGCGGCTGCTGGTGCTGGAGGTGGTGGTGGAGGTGGTGGTGGTGGAGGTGGTGGTGGTGGTGGTGGTGGTGGTGGTGGTGGAGGTGGTGGTGGTGGTGGTGGTGGTGGAGGTGGTGGTGGTGGTGGTGGTGGTGTAACGGAGCCATTTCAACTGTCTGGTGTATGAGTACACACAGGGCCCGGTTACATGCTGAGAGTTATTGTTAGAAGCCAGTTGCACAGTGACATGCAAGTACCGGCAGTGTGGTTAGCTACCAGCTGTCAGAGTAACTACATTCTGAGCGCTAGGAAGAGGATCTACTCATGGGAGCAATGACTGACGAGTCTGTGCCTCGCCAATGATTAGAAGGTCAGCCAGAGTGAAGCTCTGAGTGCTCGGCGATCCTCTACATCCTCTGAGCATTGGAAGTCCGCCAGTAATGGAAGGGACTATGCCTGGGAAGTCTACAATAAGCTAAAGCTCTACAGCAATGATTAAGCTTACACCTGAGCGGCAGCTCATTCATGCAGGCCCCAGTTGTGTGGCAACAAAGCCTGCAGGTGTTACAAAGGTTTTGACTAAGGGTGGTTGCCTTCGGAACCGGAAGCACTCGCTGACGCTTAGAGAGAAGCGAGGTAGCGGTGGTATTGCTTCCCTTCCGCTAGGAGGCAGCACCGGAACTTAGTAAGGAAGTAGGAGCAGAGAATAGAGTCCTTTGGAGTATAAGTACTCAGGATCATTCCCTCCCAATGGCCCTGATCTTCATCTTCTTTTTTGGAATCATCTCCTGTGATCGGTAGCTGTAACAGAGCCACAGTAGCGCTGTTACAAAAGTACCTGTTCTACCAGTCAAGCCATACGACCCTAGGGTAATCACCGCTTGTTCTTCATCGATGGGTGAAGATAAGGGCAGATGACCCCTACCTCTATTTTGTATGAAGGGTAGGGATCCTGGCGAGCAAGAAGTCTTATAAGTCAAGCTAGGCGACTGGACCAAAACTAGAGCAGAAGGACGAGCATGCCAAATAAAAGAAGGGTAACCCCAAACATAAGTTACCCTACCTTGGAAGTCAATCTTTGAGGCGCAATAACTTAGCAACCGATGCTCGGAAAATATGCTTTGCCACGTCAGAAAGGATCCTGACGATGCTCCAGTCCATTTGGGGTGGTTGAATGAATGGATTGCGGAGTTGAGGAAACACTGCAAAATAAACATGTTTTAGACCCCAAAAATAACCCCCGGAGCGTCGAACCGCCGGAACCCTCCTGTTTCAGCCCGGTGCATCTTTGAGGGGGAGTAGGAGTACGACCCAAGCTACTAAAAGCAAACTTCGCTTTACAAAACACCAAATCTGTAACGGAGCCATTTCAACTGTCTGGTGTATGAGTACACACAGGGCCCGGTTACATGCTGAGAGTTATTGTTAGAAGCCAGTTGCACAGTGACATGCAAGTACCGGCAGTGTGGTTAGCTACCAGCTGTCAGAGTAACTACATTCTGAGCGCTAGGAAGAGGATCTACTCATGGGAGCAATGACTGACGAGTCTGTGCCTCGCCAATGATTAGAAGGCTAGCCAGAGCGAAGCTCTGAGTGCTCAGCGATCCTCTACATCCTCTGAGCATTGGGAGTCCGCCGGCAGTGGAAGAGACTATGCCTGGGAAGTCTACAATAAGCGGAAGCTCTACAGCAATGATTAAGCTTACACCTGAGCGGCAGCTCATTCACGCAGGCCCCTAGTTGTGCGGCAACAAAGGCTGCGGGTGTTACAAAGGCTTTGACTAAGGGTGGTTGCCTTCGGAACTGGAAGCACTCGCTAACGCTTAGAGAGAAGCGGGGTAGCGATGGGATTGCTTCCTTTCCGCTGGAAGGCAGCACCGGAACTTAGTAAGGAAGTAGGAGCAGAGAATAGAATCCTTTGGAGTATAAGTACTCAGGATCATTCCCGCCCAACTGTCCTGATCCTCATCGAAAACTTGACTATTATCGTTAGCAGAGCCCTTAAAGATTATTGAGTTCTAAGCGATAGTATCTTTGAATAAATCTGCACCTGATTTCTATCTTGCACGGCCGCATCTATTCTATTGGATTCTAGCGATACATAGATAGACCGCCCCCGTTACAAAATCTGTTCTAAAACAAATTGAATAAGCAATTGCTATCTGGTCGGTTGTTTCCGCTAGTTCTTAGGATCCCGATCAGCTCTTGGCAGAGATTGCGTGATTTGACTCGGGCGGAAGTTCGTCCGAGGTGTGGCAGCAACTCCTCTCGCCCCTCATAGAAAAAAGTCGCGGTGTCCCAGGACTAGGGAGAAACGGACGGCCTAGAGAGGAAAAGCGGGAAAAAAAGGGGCGGAACTTCGATAAAAGTACTCGGTTGCCCCCAGTTTGAACTCGGGGAGGGATGGAATCTTTACTAGCGAGGAGACCCCTTAAAGTTATTAAGTTTTTAGACTACAAATACGATAAAACAAAGAAACTCCATCCTTCGATCGAACGAGCCCATTGACTCCATCGTTTCCCGTTTACCCTTTCTATTTCGATCGAAGTCACGGTCGTGCATCATCCTAGCACCCCCGTTACAGTATAACTTTAAGCTCCTCGCTTAAAGAACCCCACGATAGGAAAAAAATTTTACCGGAACATCTAGGACCACTCTCAACGCTGAAATAATCAAGCAGTTAGCTTTCTTTTATTCAGCTCGGGCTGGCATGGGAGAGGCGAACACGTTACTATGGTCTCCACTGTATCCGGTAAAGGGTTATAGCGCCCACATTCGCTCAAAGGGATATAGCGCCCACATTCGCTCAAAGAATATAGCACCCAACTTCGCTCGAAAGGAGACCACATCTAGGATCGCTCCTAGAAAATCCTGATAGCCCATTGGTCATAGGACCCCATTTCCCATCTGGGCCCCAGTCCCAACCAAAGTCAATGTCCCTCCGTCCACGATGACGGCAGGCAGGGTCCGGAAGAGGAGGATAACTGGCTTTCTTCTGGCGCCACCATGCCTCGTAATGCGCTTCGAGTGCCAGTTTCTGTCTCTCATTCCGCTCTTCTTGTGCCACTCTCTGCCGCATCCACTCCGCTCCCCTCCCATCTCGCTCAATCTCCTCCCGCATCCACCGCACCTGTTCCCGTTTCTCCCTCGCGGCCGCACGGACACGAGCCTGACCAACACTCCTGTCCCCTTGTTGGAAGAAGGGATAAGGACGATGGAAATCCTCCCGAGTCAGAAACGGAACCTGGTTGAAATGGCCGTCGAAGGTCGAGGTCTCCAAACCTCGAGGAACAGCTTGTCTGTGGAAACATTAGCGGGAGTAAGAGGAGGTTACAAGCCCCACTGAACCATGCCTACCTCACAACATGCCGTGATCGGACAGGTTTCCGAGCAACTCTCCGAGCATATACAGAGTTACCACCAAGCCTCGTCTCCCGGCGAGATCGACTAGCGTTAGATAAAAGCGCTTGTACGATAGACGAATTGACCGCGATGAACAAAGAGAGGAATAGAATAAAGAAAAGCATTGTTGCTGAGAAGAGGTGATAAATTTGGTGTTGTGTGTGGAAAAAATCGAATTTTTGTGGAATGGATAGAGGGAATGGATTCTTACCCTCCTAAGTTCGACGGGTACCCCGCCTTTATAAGCAAACTCCTATCCAAGTTCCGAGAATCAACATGGTTACCCGTAGCAGGAGTTCGGTCCGGCTCTAACCGAACCCGGCATTAACCGTCGGAAGAGACAATGACACCGAGTTTACCTGGTTTGAGGAAGGCGTGCGTGCGTTCGAAGTCCTGAAAGAGGCGTTCCAATCCGCCCCCGTATTAGCCCTCTTTGATGCTGAGCTAGCCACCAAGGTTGAGACCGATGCCTCCAACCACGCCAAATCTAGCATACGGTCCCAATTCCACTGAGATGACAATAAGTGCAATCCAGGAGTTCTTTACTCCAAAAAGGGAATTCGCGAGCCGAACGGAATTATGAAGTTCACGACAAGGAGTTAGGTGCCATTGTGTCATGCTTCAACGAGCGAAGTAACCCAGGAGGAACCCCCAGCCGGAGGGAAACCCCGGTGGAAAAAACCAGAACCCAGAACCAGCGGGTAATGGTGAAAGAGATGGAATACTCCCCCCGGTTGGTGGCGCTTTCCAACCCAGGAGAGAACTCAGATAGTTCAGATTCGGAGCATGAGGATGGGGATAGGAGAGGATGGCGGAGATACCTCAGGAAGATGCTGGAGAAGCAGCAGAGAGAGAGAGCCCTGGCCTCCATAGCCCAGTTCATGAGACCTCCGGCCCCCCCTCACACCCCTCCACTGCCTCCAGTGGCCGAGAACTAAAGACACCTCCCTCCGGCCAAGTTCAATGGCAAAGCAAATAATGTGCGGACCTTCATCGGGCAATGTGAGAATGTCTTCTCCATTGAAAGCCAGTCTTTTACCTCCGAAGAGGTTAGGATCCGATATCTTCTGCCAACCAGATAGCTGGGATGTCTGTGGTGTGAGATGAGAGATGGAAGCGCTGGGATTCCTTTGTGGATGCTCTCAGAGAAGTCTTTGGCGAAGCCATCTCCAAGGGATGATGCGGTAGCCCAATGGAATAACCTTACCCACACAGCATAGGGGGGAATAGACTCCTTCCCAAATAGCATCATTCATTTGATATGAAAGACTGGCTATGAGGGTTAGTTAGTGAATGATAAGATCCTCAGTTCCGTCCTTCCGGACCTAGGCACGAGCTGTGCTCTCTTTACCCCGTTACACCTCTGGGTTTCCTCCAGCCTGGGTTTGCCAAGGGGTTATCCCCGGAATCCCACAGAGCAAAAGGCACTGAAACCGAGATAAGCTCGAGGGGCGGCCAACCTCGCGGAGTTTGGCTTCAAAGTTGTATACCGCCCTGGAAAACTAAAACGCCAAGGCAGACATCTTGTCGCGGCGTTGGGACCACGCCCTTAAAGAGGGGGGTAAGGCTCATCAAGACCCTGAAATTCACTTGTTTAAGCCAGGACAACTTATAATGGGTTCTGTCCAATACCCGATCGTTATGATCAATTCAGCATGGGCAAGAGTAGCCCAAGTCTGCAAAACTCACACCGGTGCTCCCGGATGAAATCGGGGCTCGAGCAGCCTTAGATCCAGGGTACCTTTCCTTGAGAAAAGCCATTGAGAACACCTCTGGGAATCTGGT